GAATGCCTCAGCTGACTTGGCAATCCTTCCAAGGTCCTAAAGCATACTTCAGCCGCACAGAATTAGGCAGGTTCGAACAACTAAGGGCCGAAAGGTCAACATACTTACCGCAAAGATCAGCTGGCTCTAGGCTTCCATCCATACTCAGGTTTGCATCCGGTCCAAAATTCGCGGAGAATGCAGGCGATTCACGAAAACAAAATCAAAGTTCTGAACATCGCATGCGTAAATTGCACACCAAGATGGATTCAAAAGTTCATGATTCATAGGGATCACCTCTAAAGCCATCGAAACCCAACAATACACCCGCCTAAAACCTTCAAATGGTATACCCAAAACGCCAATCCCTATCCCCTACACCCCCTAGCAACCTCCACCACCACCACCACCACCGCCTCCATCACCTCCTCCACCTCCACCACCACCGCCGCCGCCATCTCCACCGCTGCAACCTCCACCATCTCCTCCACTAAAGAAGCCACCGCCGCCTCCGTATCCTGCTGTGTATGCGTATGCGCCTCCCGTGTCGCTACCACCGCCGTAATGCCGCTTGTTGCGCTTCGAGACCTTTGTTTGTCGCATCGGAGGCGGGTATTCGGAGGGTGATTTGGACATTCCACAGCCCATTTTGGCGGGTGTTGGCTTGTGTTGGTTTGCGTTGTTGGTGTGAAGGTTTGTAGATTGCGGGATGTGAATATGTGATCGTATGACTTTGTCAAGTTTGGTCTTGGGTGATGTTGATATCCAAAGATATGTGGGTTTGAGATGAGTGAAGTACGAAGATGCGTATGGGTTCTCTGTTAGAGAAGATAGCGTGGATATGTCGAAAGTTTGTTCGTGATGATGATATGCCCTCATCCTCCCACGGAACCCTCGACCCTATATACCACCCACGGTACTCATCATGCTCACCTCACCACACTACCAGCCACGAAATCTGCCTGATCCGTACACAGCACTGTCATCAGGCCCCCTGTAGACAGCGACAACAGCACCCACTACCGTCACAACACCTACCCTCATTCCGTTCTAACCAAGCGAGACATCCAGTCGCATCCCCCGCTAATGCCACAAACGTGACCGGAACAGCCCCAACCCATCAGCAACCAGGCGTCCAGCGTCCGACCACTACCCAATCCAGTTCGTCCAGTTCGTTTACTCGGATAAGGCATCCCCCACCTTTGGATCAACAAAACGACCATCACGGATTAGGAAGTAATCGAGCGCATACACCTACATATTGCGCACATTGTCTCGCAATGCCACAAATGTTGCACATCATTTACCACATGTGCTTCGCAGGGCTGAGTCCACAGTAGCAGTAGGTGGAGGGAAGGGACGCTAGAAGCGAGGCTGTGCGCCCGTTCTGCCGATCACGTGGGACATCAAGCCCACACGTGGACGCTGGCTAGCTGGAAGACACGGAATAGATGGCCTGCATCATACATTACTACCTACGTATGAGCACGAAAGCCTGCAAGATCTTAACACAACCTTAGAGCTTAGGCTTCTGGTGCTTCGACTTCCATCATCCTCTGCAAGTCGTTGTTCACATTTCCCCTCGAACGCGGAGATCCAACGACCCTAAGCCTACGTCGGCCCGAAACCAGCAGTTCGGTGTCCTTTATCGGGTTTAGACCAATCTCTGATGGAAGCAGCGAAGAACATTGTTATGGAGTTAGCATGCGCATCTGGCAACCTGTCAGGCAGAGTCAAGATAGCGAGCTGTGGCTGTGTATTCTTGTCGATCGATCGCTTGGTGCGAGGAATGAATCTGGTAGACTTGTGATGCAGCACGTACGTATACTGTGGGGTCCAATGAAGGGGGACCTGCGTAGTGATGTACATACAATGCGATGCTGTCATGTCTGCTATAGAGATAGTACCTCGCCTGCGATACGTGTATTGCGCCGAAATCAGGTTAAGGCGCCCCCGGTTTGCCTTAAGTCTTCACTTCAATCGGAATGGCTACTAGGTACCACCTCACAGCTCTCCCATCTCACATACGACGAAAACCCGCATATTGAACTTTCAAAATTATGTCATTGGAGTATATAGCGCCGTGTCGATCGATAACATTCACAGAGAGACCCGAATATATAGAAGGAAAAAGTGAAGCAAGGGAAAAAGATGCTAGAAGCATACACACAAGAAAGATGGGGTCTCCAAACTCCCGGCCGAACCGCCCCTAGAAAGAAAGGTCTCAAGAAAGCGTCCGTGGTTTCCGAACCGTTCAGCCAATCTAGTCGTCGTAAAGTTTTTCTTTTTCGCGGGGGTAGAAAAGGCGTTAAAAAGTCTTGATCAAAGAAGAAGGCTGCAACTCCCCCATTCTAACACGTCTGCCGTGAAATCTCGATCCAGAAATGCGAAAAAAAGCGTGGAAGTAGCCAAAGAAGTGAGAACCTCTCGTATCCGCCCCAAGACGCTCGTTGTACGACGTAATCAAGTCTGCCCCAAGCACGCGCGTGTGTGACTCCAATGATGTCGTTTCGCGTCTCACTTTCCGCCCTGCTTCTTCGCCTTGAGTGCAAGATGCGAGTACACCCATCCACCGCCAAGCGCGAGAAGTACACCGAACCATTCCCTTCCGCTCAATATCTTGCCCTCGCTGTACCACCCTATACTCAGGATCATGATGGTCTTGAGATGGCTGACAATGTTGAATGTGAGGGCGCTGGTGCGACCGATGATCAAGAACTGACTCAGGTTGTACATCGAGGCCATGATGCCGGAGGCGCATACGCTCCAGAGGATGTCGGTGGGTACGGTTGATAGGTTCGGGATGGTGTCGAAGAAGGGCACGAAGGGGATGAGGAGGCAGACGGAGATTGGCGCTTGGTTGAGCAGGAGTTGGGGTGGCGAGACGGCGAAGTCTTCGATCTTCTTGCCGATCCAGATCTGGTACAGAGCGGTACTGCAGAATGCCAGGGTCGCGACGATGACACCGAATAGCTGGGTCTTGGCTGCCTCGTTGATGGTGAAGGAGACGCCAATGCATGTTGCGAGAATGGCAGCCAGCATGTATCGTGTAACCTGCTTTCGGAAGAGGACGAAGTTGATGAGGACGACGGTCGGCGTGGTCATGACCTTGGAGAGCTGGTAGAAACCGATCGAGTTGAAGGTCAAGCTAAGGTTGCCAAGCACAACGTAGCCGGCGAAGAAGCCGCAGACGGGCAGCATGTTCCAGACATTCAGCCGTACGGCCTTGAAGGCATGGAAGGGCCGGAGGGTCGAGATGAAGAGGACGAGACCGGTGGCTGTGAAATGCCACATGACGACCATGAGCTGGCATCCTTTGAGCTGCTTGTCGCTGAACACTCTATCCGACTGTCAGCGGGTCCCCCACTAGCTCTACTGCATGTTGCATACCGCTTGCTCAGGAAGATCAGGCCTAGTGTTGATAGCGTATTCAGAGCGATCCAAAAACACGTTATCAGCTTCTCCTTGAGCGGTACTGGCGTAGGCTCGGCTACGGGCTTCTCGAAAGTGGGCAGCTCTTCGAGCTCGTGGGACTCTCGGGGGTCAACATTGTCGACGAGACCCTCGATTGAAGGGCGCTTCTCAACTGCGTGTTCAGTTAGTCCTGGTGTGTCTTATTCCTGACAGGTGATATGCCGACGCCCATGTGTCAAGGGTCTAGGCGGTGTCCGGGGTTCGACGTACCCATGGTATGTGATATTGAGTTGAGAATGTAGCGAGCGACGGTGGAGGGCTCGTATGGGCTATGCCTTCATGCCAGTGCCAGAGGGAAGGCGCGAGCTGGCAATGCGAGGGAAGGCGTAGGACGAGGCAGGCGCGGGCTGACTTGGTTGTCGCACGGTAGCGGGTGGGCCGGGGAGGGTTGCGGCGGTGCAGCAGATCGTCCGGTGTGGCTTCAGACGCGGACGATGCAGTTGCAGCGACCAGAGACAGCAACAGAGAGGCAAAAGAGGATGAGGCGGTTCGGGGAGGGCTGCCGGAGAAAAGAGACAAGGCGAGGCGGGGAGGGCCAAGGGGGTACACGACAAAAGGCCCAAGTAAGATGCTATCCGAAAGGGATCCTCAGACGCCAAGGCGACTGCTGAAGGGGGCGAAGACGATGCAGGGTTCGTTGTTCAGGCACGTGCCCGTAAGCCACAAGCCTCATCTCCACGGCCAATCAGTCCTACCTTAGCGCCACCGTGTCCAGCCAAATCTACGAGGTTAATTTTAGGCCTCGATGCGGTAGCGCTACTGCTTTTGGTTCCGTCCACTGTCTATACGGGCTTGCAGCATCGTGAAGAGCTTCAATCGCCTCGAACTCGCAGTGTGATATACAGTGGTGATCAGCTTGGCACTCTCCCTTACCCACTTCCCAAGACACATTGGTCGTTTGGGCGTTGCTTCTGGAGTGCCGACACATCCGGCTCCGCTCCGCCCATCTCGGGCAGAATATCTCCCTCGTAGCACCTGTGTTGCTCCGATTACGAATCTTGGTGCCCTAACACGGCGGACGCAGCGTTTGGTGTCCCTTCCGGATCCGCTGGGTGGTGCCACCTACGACTACCCGTACCGGTAATCTGCATGTTTGCGCGTCCTGATGCATAGTCGCAACTCTGCAACTTGTTGGCATTGTGGAGGTTTTGGGGGTATGCTTGTACGGTTGCCAGCGGAGATTTCGTTGCGGACTCCAAGATTTAGTTGCACCGAGCGCCGAATCTTATGTCAGTTTGGTCTTCTCATAGACTCAATTCAGATAAGGAAGGTACGATCATGACACAGCCCACCAATCCTGTGCGACATGGAAGTAACGTGTTCTCTTGAATTTTTAACTCCTAGTTCTATGCAGAAGGCGTAATTAACAGCCTTCAAGTGATCGACCCTAGCGCATAGAGAAAGACGGATAATGTACACTCGCAAGAACCCACACCGTACAAAGAAAATCAACATGATCAGCATCCCATCGGCAGTTCCATTGACTACCGCATCCGCATCGAATTATAGACATGTAATGTGTTATGTCGTCGTGGTGTTACAGAAAATTATACCTCGCCATCGGCCACAGCGAGACGCTGCTTGGCTGTCTTTGCCTTCTTGCTCAGCCCACCCTTCTTGCGCTTGCCGCCGGCGGGGGCTTCAGTAGGTGGGATAGGTGTGGCTGCACCACTTGCCTTTGCGCTCTCGTCAAAGTGTCCTTCGCCTGGGAATAGTCAGTACAAACATTGTTCAGCATGAAGCGGTCCACTCACCCTCGTGGTACATGTCGTCGAGGTTGGCCTCCGCCCGTTGCTTCTTCTTGCCACGCTTCTTGCCTGGTGGAGCATTCTTCTCTTGCTCCGCCAGCTCCGCCTCCTTCTTCTCGATCTCCGCGGCCTGGTCATCATCGACAAGCCACATAGCCATGTCCTTGGTCCTGTTCTCCCTGGAGCGGGTGTTGAAGTCGACTCCAGCGCCGCCGCCTCCGGAAATGACGACACGCTGCACTTCTTCCTTCTGAAGCGCACGCTTGCGGATACGTTCTTCGATAGTACCGCGCGTGATAAGCCTGTACACAGTGACCTGTCGTGTTTGTCCGAGACGATGGGCACGGTCCATAGCTTGCGAGTCGATGGTCGGATTCCAATCGGAATCGTAGAAGATGACTGTGTCCGCGGATGTAAGGTTGATACCGAGACCACCGGCGCGAGTTGACAGGAGGAAGACGAAGATGGACCGGTCGCTCTGGAAGTCGGCGACTGTATCACGACGATCTTCGAGTTTGGTCGAACCATCAAGACGGCAGTACTTGTAGTTCCTGTAAGTGAGGTATTCTTCCATCAGGTCCATCATCCTGGTCATCTGGAAGTACAGCAACACGCGATGATCATTTGCCTTCAGTTCCTTCAGGAGTGCATCCAACTGAGCCAGCTTGCCGGAATCAGTAACGAAGCGCGACATTGACGGTGCCTCAATGTGAGTAAATCGTGTGCGCTCGTTGGTAGGTGGCGGGAGCCTGTTGCTAACAGTCAAAGCAGTCGACTCCTTCTTGGCTTCCAGAAGAGCTTGCTCAGTAGCCTCTGATACACCATAGAGCGCGGAACGGATGGGAGCATTGAAGAAGAGGTTCTGTGTCTCTGCAATGACACCCTGACTAGCGCAGTACAGCTCGACTGGAGGCGCAGATGCTTTTGGCTTTGCACAGGGTTCGATCACGTTCAAGCCTGTCTTTTCGAAAGCTGTTCGGGCAACATTGAACAGGTTGCGCATGTGTCCATCGGCAGTGATCTCGGCCAAAGGTGCACGGTCCTGGCGATCAACAATGTTAAACATGGAGTGCTTCGGCTCCCACTCGCCGTTGTCGTTGTCGTAGAACACATTGAACCGGCCAACCTTATTTGGCTTTTGCTCTGCAGCGAGAGCTCGCTGGAACAGACCGCTCTTGGCAATTCGGGAAGCCTCGGTGGCTGACAGATCAGAGAAGCGGAGCCATGAAAATGCTCCGGCCTCTCTGGCCGACTGCGCAATGTTGTCTGGGCTCCACACATTCATCAGGTTGTCGAGATAGCGTCCCTTGAAGCCAGCCTTCTGATTGTCCGGACCAGCAAGCTCCAGTCGACCACCCTCACGACCCACGAGTCTTGGTAGAGGATACTCGATCAAGTTGCGTGTAGAGTATCCGACCCTGACATTCTGACCTTCCCGTAGGAATGAGGCGGTCTCAGCGAAGGAGGCGAAAGAGAATGGTGACCATGTATCGGCTCGCTCGAATAGATCAGGGTGGTTGCAGACCTTCCTGAACTGCATGACCAAGTTCATAAGGGTTGCACTGTCCTGCTCGTCACCAACAGCCTTTTCGACCAAATCCATAATGTTGATCTTCGCTCGGAGGTTGGCGTAGTAAGCCCGTTGTCGGTATGTCAAGTCGCAATAGACGTCCAGCTCGATCTTGTCTCCAAGCTCCTTCTGGACATGCTTCTTCACACGACGCAACATGAACGGCTTCAAAATCATATGTAGTCGTCGCAGTTGGTCTTCGTTGAGCTTCGTGTTACTCTGTGCGTGACTCTCAATGTCCTTGGAAAACCATTCGCTGAACTCGTCGTGAGAGTCGAACAAGCTAGGCATGATGAAATGGAGCAGAGCCCAAAGTTCCTGCATGTTGTTTTGAATGGGTGTACCCGTGAGGAGCAGCCGGTTACGGGAGTGGAAGCCGAGAAGACTCTTCCATCGAGAACTCTGAGACGACTTGATGGCTTGCGCTTCGTCGAGAATCATGTACTGCCAACGCATCTTCTGGAAGTATTGGGCATCCTGAACGACCAGTTGGTACGAAGAGACCACAACGTGGAAGGGCGAATCGCGGGTGTACGTGACGTGCTTCCTATCCCAGAGCTTGCGGAGGATCTTTCGGTCCTTGGCCGTACCCCAGTATGGAATGACGTTGAGATCCGGGACGAACCTGGTGATTTCCTGCTGCCAGTTGTGCAGTGTCGATGCGGGGGCAATGACGAGGAAAGGTCCCCAGATGTTGTACCTCTCGGCCAGGTAAGCCATGACCGATATCGATTGGACCGTTTTACCGAGACCCATCTCGTCAGCAAGAATACCGTTGATACCCTGCTCGTACAAGTTGACCAACCAGTTGAGACCCTTCAGTTGGTACTCCTTGAGCGTACAGTTGAGAAGGCCAGGTTGAGGAATCCAGTCTTCTTTGTTCTGCAGACCAGAGGGGTTTTGGAAGTTCATCTCGCCGTCCTCTTCGTCATCACCAGACTTGTTGAAGGCACGGGCACGGTCTTGAGCCTGCTGGATAGCATGCTGGGCGTTCGCCATGGCGGCCGCGTTGAGCGCACTTTCGTCCTCGTTGTCGAAGTCAAGATCCTCGAAGTTGGTGACCTTGGCGCCTCCTTCCGCCGACATCTCCCCAACGTCGATACTAGGCTTAGCTGCTGCCTGAGGGTCAGCTGCAGCGGCGTCGGCGTCGTCGGTGGAACGCTCAATCTCATCTGTCCTAGCCTTCTTGCCGATGAAATGCGAGTAGAGCTCGGTTTGGGAAATAAGGAAGTTGAGCTTCCGCTTCTGTCGGTTTGCTTCCCGATCAGCCTCAGCCTTCTTCGCGTTCTCCAACTCTTGACGCTCAGCGTTCTTCCGGGACTCGCGCTCATCGCGTTCGTTCCTCTTCCAGAATGCAAGCATCTCACGCATACCACGCTTGGCCCTGGCTTGCGTGTCTTTCTGGTTCTTGTTGGTACGCATCTGCCATCGACGGGCCTCCTTGGCAGCCAGTTGGGCAGTCTTGCGAAGGTTGGACTGCTTTGTCGAGAGCGAGTTCTCCTTGATGCGGACAACCTTGGGAACATCCTTGCGAGCGAGATCCTTGACAATCTGCTGGTACAAGTTTCGGTATACGGAGGAGTCGTAGGAAGTCAGGACGACGGGTCCCAAATCCTCTGTGTAGCTACGGCCGCGTAGGGAGTCAAGGCGTGCCTCCTCGCGCGGCGCGATCATGGGGAGATCGTCTCCGCGGTCGATAGCAGCCTGACCGGCGGCGGCAGCGTCCTTCTCAGCCTGCTTTTGCTCCTTGCTCTTCTTAAGACGCCCGGTGCCGCGGTTGCCCTTGCGCTTTCCGCCAGCGAGGTCGTCAGAGGCCTGGAAGGAGCTCATAGTGCCTCCTTCCATATTCGGTCCGTGTGGAGTGACTTCGCGGATGTCCTTGCTAGGGGCATTGCCTTGCAGAAGCTGAGTAGTAGTCTTCGCTTTCCGCTCGGCTTTCTGTGCAGCCAACAGATGACGCTCTTTTTCTTCCTCGTTCTCGGCTTGACCTGCCTTTGCGAGGGCCTCGGCGCGTTTAGCTTCCTCGTTCTGGATAGTCTTTTCACGCCTTCGCTTGCGCTGCATGTCCTTCTTGCGCTCCTTCTCTTCGGCAATTTCCTGGCTCTGGACCTGCTGCCATGCATCGCCCTCGTGCTCGACGTTGTATGAGTGCTTCGCGTAGTCGCGGTTGGCAGCGGACACGTCCTGGTAACGTGTAAGGAAAGCAGTCCGCCGCTTCTTGCGCTTGTTCGCCTCGGCGGCTCCAACTTCTAGGACGCGCTTCTGGCTCCTTTGCTTATAGTCTTCAAGATCGTGCGGGGTGGCCGACTCGTCAATGTCGCTCATCTGCTTGGTCTCAATGTGGGCGAGGGCAGCCTCGATCTCTGCTTCGTCTGGCGCAGGCAACTCGCGAGTCGCAGACTGTGAAGGGGCCTGGAGGCTGCCGACCGGCGGCATAGCATCGTACACGCGGGGGGCATAGCCATTTTCCTGATGGGGAAGGTCAGCGGGCGCCGGAGACGCCATTGCTTCTTGCTTCACGAAGTGAGAATTGTGCAGAGGTTTTGAGGTTTGGTAAGGTTCGGCGGCGAGGTTCGGCAGTGGCTGAGGCTTTGGCGGAGGCTCGTTGTCGGCTCCGGAGGACATTATACTGGAGAGCGACATGGGATCGGCACGCGTTGGTGGCGGCGCCTGTTGCAGTGGTGAGCAGAGTGAGGGTGGAAGTCGCGAGTTCACTTACCTCTTCCTTGTAGGATGGCCTCCTGGGGTAGTCGATGGGCGGCTGCACGGCGCCTCGGTTCATCGACTGATAAACCGATGGCGACACGGGCGAGTGAGACATGGCCTCCATCGTGCCGGTGTGCTGGTGCTGGGAATGGGGGCGCTGCAGCGGCGAGTGATGCGCGTACGAGGTCGTGACGGGTGATTGATAGACCTTGTCGTAGGGGCTGTGTGCCGCCCGAGTCTGCGTCTGGGGTGTGGGTTAGCCGCGTGTCCCTGAATGTTGAGGATGGCGATGGCGTGAAGTGTGATGTCTGAGGCATGAGGTAGATGAAACATATGATGGAAGACGCACCTGTGCAGGAGGATACTGGGTATTGATGTCGTAACGCGCCGGGTCCCGTGCTACGCCGCGGTCTCCATTGTCTGAAGTCGGGTCGTAGTATCTGGACGTGTCGCGCGAATAGAGGGCCGTGCTGATGGGCGGCAGCTCGGTGGTGCTGGGCGACGGCGGAGGGCGAGGGTGTTGATGGGCTGGGGGGTGGTGAAGGTTGGCGTGGTGGAGAGGCAAGGGCGCTGGAGTGTTTGGCGAATGGTGTTGGTATGGTTGGCCTGCCTGTGTCGGCGATCTGTGGTAAGCTGCTGGCACTGGCGTAGGTTCCCCTTGGTGCCCTGGCGGCTTTCTTTCTCCTCGCGAATGCTCCTCCCCATCATCGACGGACCGCCGCAGGACCGGATCGCGAAACATGACGGCAGCGCGTAGGGGCTTGTTAACGGCGGAGAGGCTGCTCCATGGGCCGCACGCTGCAGGCACTGGCGGTGGGGCGCGCAGGGAGCGCGGCGACGACAGCAGAGGGAATGCGCCGTGGGCGAGGGCTGCCGGCGATGGTCGTCGGGCAGTTGGCGATGTGGATGCGACGACGACGAGATGGAAGAGGGAAGATGGGATGGGGGCTGGTGTGGAGCTGCTTGAGCGCCGTCTAGATCACACACGAACGGTTGGCAAGTCAGCTTCTGCTTAGTGCGGCTGCGGCAACTCTGTCCTGGAGCAGCTCCGGGCGTGATGCAGAGCCGCGATGAGGTTTGATGGAGAGCCTGCGACGCCCTACAGACACGCAATATGTGACACGGCGGGCTGCGGACTGCGTCGAGCATGTCTGGCATGGCCGCATTACGCGTGGGCACCTTCATTGCGACGCTGCTCCGCTGCTGGGCGTGCCTCTTAACAAAGCACCTGAACCCCATCTCTCGTAGGAGCATACACGCCCAGATGGGTGCATCGACCAATAATTGCGTGCATGCAAACGGCGCCATGCAGCGTGCAGCCGCTTCTCGTCTGTGCCGGTCTGCCTGAGTGTCCTCGACTCCGGCACTCTGCTGCTACTCGCTGCCGCAGCCTGAGCATTTCTTATTTCCCTTCTCAGCACCTACAACTCGTCGCTGCTCCGCGTGCCGGGTTGAGGCGTTGCCAGCTTCGGCTAATCTACCACGAGCCTCTGGACCACGGCGGACGTGCGCATCTCATTTCCTCGCCATCCGATGGCTGACTCTGTATACATTGCCATCTCCATCGAGTCTCTCGTGCACGCGACAATGCCAACACGCAGGCACAAAAGCGAGCAGGGCAGAATGTTGGGGCTGCAAACGCCCATTGGATGAAGCCTCACCACGACGGTGACGGAAGGCGCGACCATGCCGCGAAGACTCCATCCGCTCTAGCTCCTTCGGTCGTAGCGCGGCCCGAGCGTAGATCGCGCTAAAACTCTGGGCGGCATCAATTCTCGAACTTTTTTGCAGAGGCGCATCCACCCCGACGAGCGCAGCAACAACCGCCTGAAATCACCATGGCTTCCGTATACAAGACCCTGTCCGGCGCGGAGAAAGAGGAGAAGGAAACGGGCGTGCAGAGAAACAAGCAGCGTGTCCTTATTCTGGTACGAATCCACGCGCGGCGCAAACCGAGACCCATGCTGATGATTGCTAGAGTTCAAGAGGTGTTACTTTCCGTCACCGACATTTGCTACAGGACTTGTACTCGTTGATGTGAGTGGTTTGCGCGATCAGAGAACTTCATTTACTGATCTTTTCAAAGGCCCCATAGCCGGAAAGAAGCCAAACTTGACACCAAGACGAAGCTTTACCAACTCAACGAACTAGCAGAACTCTACAACTGCAACAATGTCCTCTTCTTCGAAGCTCGTAAGGGCAAGGATCTTTACTGCTGGATGTCCAAGCCACCAAACGGTCCTACTGTAAAGATGCACCTGCAAAACTTGCACACCATGGAAGAGCTCAACTTCATTGGCAACTGCCTGAAAGGATCACGACCGGTACTCTCTTTCGACGCCGCCTTCGACAAGCAGGCTCATCTTCGCGTGATCAAGGAGCTCTTCACCCAGATTTTCGGCGTCCCCAAGACGAGCCGAAAAGTCAAGCCTTTCGTAGACCACGTGATGGGTTTCACAGTCGCAGACGGCAAGATCTGGATCCGCGTGTTCCAAATCAACGAGAGCGAGACCAGCAAGAAGAAGCCTGCCGATGGCGAGGAGATGGACGTTGACGAGGCACCCAAGAAGAAGAAGGGAAGCGAATTCGATGTCAACCTAGTCGAGATCGGTCCCCGTTTCGTCCTCACTCCCATCGTTATCCAGGAGTCTAGCTTTGGAGGTCCAATCATCTACGAAAACAAGGAGTTCGTCTCGCCCAACCAGATCCGTTCCGACTTGAGGAAATCAAAGGCCGGCAGGTTCAACAAGAGGACCGATGCGCAGAGGGATACACTGCTCAAGCACCAAGATCTGGGTTTGACATCGCATGGTGGAGTCAGGAAAGAGAAGGACCCGCTCAGCGACAATGTGCTGTTCGCGTAAAATTGTTTGCCATGTTTCGAGGGAAGGAAAAATGGCGTTTATGGAATGCATCGTCTTATTTAGATTGGCGTCGATTCTGGGCTGGGCATAGGCCCGCATGTATGTATAGCGATATACCCAAAAGCTATCGTTTAATGGGTAGCTCATTGCGAGCGACCGTTAACCCAAGTACTCCTTATCCTTTGGCGATATCAGTGTGTCCTGTCAGCAGTCATGCTCTTCTCCAAGACTTCTTTATACTCATCATCAACACCACTAACAACTGCCTGCCTGACTCCATATACAGCCCTAAAAGGATCAAGCACTAGCTGTGTCTGCGCATAGTTACTCTCGTCCTGCACACGATGTACCCGTCCACTAGGAAACCTCACGCGACTAATCGCGCCATCTATAAGATGCACCTGCAGCCGATATAACTGCGGCGCCACAGCCAACAGATCAACCAGCTCCCGTACTTTGCTCTTTATGCCAGCCGGCAAACCTCTGCCCCCGCAGTTATACTTGATCATCCCCGTGTAATCATCCACAGACTCAACATTAACAACATAATTCCTAATCCGCAGCAGATTCCTCTGCGAGAAGTGATCCAAGAACGGATACGTCCGGTTCGGCGTAAGATTATTCGCCGTGCGCCATCGATACCGAAAGTTGATCGCGTCGAACGTCACGTCAATCACAAAAGTATTGTCTCCGTATAGCATGTCTGCAGCTTCTTCGTGGACGTGTCGCGACACGGCGAGGAGACTCGTGTGCCCGCGCCGCCAGACTGTGTCGTTGCCTGTCTCGCGCTCTGTGCGTGGTAGTGTGCGTTGCATGCGCCAGCCCCCGTCGCCGTTCTTCTGCCGCACAAAGGTCAGATTGTATTCGGACTTTGGGGGTGGGTCGGGAGGGTGCTGGAAACGCACTTCGAAGGTGGTGGTGTGGGGGAGGACATGGCTGTAGATTAGGCGACGGAGCTCGATTGGGAGGCGGAGGAGAGGGGATAGCTGGGAGGATGCGGTGTCTGTGGAGTGCTGCATTGTGCGCTCGTTATACTGTGGCATTGGACTTGCAATGGCATGTTGTGAAGACATGCGCATCTTCGTGCGGCATGCCTGGCGCTGCTCATTGACGCCATCGGTGCTCTCCCGTCTCCACGCCGATTGGCCCCCACAATCCGGGTTAGCCCCCCTTGGCGGCATCCATCACGTCCACGGTCGTCACGACTGGTGACTCCTTTCCCTTTCCCCAACCACTAACGATGACCTTCCATTTCAGAGACAGCTCGCCAGAGCTTGCATTGACTTGCACCATGTCTTTCCAGAATGTCGTCGCGTTTTCTAACTATAGCCCCAACGGAGGGGTCCGATTTGTTTGAACCACGCGATACGTGTCGGTGTAGAGGCGAGATAGCTACGCACCGATTAGATCGATAGATCGATATACGAAACTGAGGTCGAAGAATAGTGAAAGGAGGACGAGATTGAATCGAATTTCGCATCATTATCACAAGAGACAACTCGGCACCTAACGCAGGCTGAAGACACGCGTAGACTTGAAAGATCACAGGTGAGTTCCATTCATACTATCGTGCTATACGGCATTCATCACGTGGGTCTCTTATTGACCGGAAATGCAGCCACCAAATCGCTCCCCTACCCTACAACCGCCTTCAAGATGCTGTTCGAAGATCTCGCAACGGAGCTTGTGGTGCAGGTGTACCTATCATGCCGTTCAGTCAACGACGTGACAGCTCTATCTGCCACCTGCCGTCGTTTCCGCAACATCTATTCTTCCTCCCAGAAACTACCCATACTCGAAAAGGCCGCCGAAACGCAGTTCGGTCCGCTAGAAGACCTCACTCAACTCCTGACCCACAACAAAAGCCAGCCTGCACACATCGTCCGCTCTGTTCCCTTCTCTCTCGCGCTGCTCAAGCAGATCGTGCAGCATGGGCGCACAGCTGAGAAATGGTGCGACATCTACCCGTTCAAGAAGTGGAAGCACAACTTCGAAAGCCGGCGTCTCTTGACGACCGACGAGCGCTATCTCGTGAGACGAGCCATCTATAGAATCTGGCTCTACTCCCGCGCCTTCCACAACAGCGACCACTCACGTGAAGCCCGCGCGTCCCGCCTCGTCCTACTCAAGCGCGCAGCCCTCCTCCACAACTGGAGCACCTGGGAACTCGCCGAAATCGCCGACGTGCACGCCGTCATCCGCGAAGTCGTCCAAAGCAACGTCTGCCCCTCCAACGGCACCATTGCCCGAAAGTTCAAGAAGCGACACCCGGGCAACGAGCACTCCCTCCTCTTCAACATCCACCTCAACTACCCACCCACCGCGCCCCAAGCCTTCAACCCTTTCACGCCAAACCCCCTCTCCACCCACTTCAACAACACACCCACCTACACCTCCCGCTACGCCGCGTCCAAATACTCGCTCCACCCCTCCCACGAAGTCGGCGCGGAAGGCTGGGGCGATGATATACCTCATTACTACGTCATCGAGGACTATATGAAGCTTGATCCGGCTCAGATACTCTACTTGAAGGAACATGCGCCGCTGAAGGACATGGTGGAGGGCTACGTGAGGAGCTTGTGTCCAGAGTATGATTGGTTTACAAATAATGGGGAGACGTGGGTTGCGACGTTGGAGTTTGTGCTTGGGGAGAGAGGGGAGGATGTGGGGGATTTCATGGGGGCTATTGCGGAGGGGGAGGCGGGTGTTGCTGTTTGTGAGGAGTGATGCTGAGGATTGACGGGTATGGTTGGCGGATACACAGTATAGGCTGGGCTGTTTGTCACATCAACACTACGTCTGGGAGTCTTCAGTTTTCCTGTGCACTGAAATAAAATGGTATACTGTCATTGTCCAGACTATCCCCAATCGCGCTCTCGCGATATACCTTCCTCTAGCCAGTCACGTCACGTTTTCGCTTTCCGCTTCTAATCTGCACCCTCATCGTCCTCATAGTCCTCCTCCTGTTCGTCGGACAACTCCGACTTGAGGGGGGCCTTTCCGCTCGTCTTGCGTCCCGAGTTGAGTCTATTGTACTTTTCATTCCTGACTCTCTTCCCGGTACTTGGCATGCCTGCCCGGTTCTCGCTGCCTTCTTCCACATCCTCCGCTAATCCCCTGCGGGGCCACGAGTTGAGTAGTTCGTCCTGTCTCATCTTGAATCTCTTGAGAGCACTTGACGTGCTTGCCCCATTCTCACTGCCTTCTTCCACATCCTCCGCTGGTACCTGGCGGGATTTGGCAGCCTGCGTTACTATTGCTACCCGATCTCTCCACCTGCCAGCTTGGCTCATTCTGGAAGGATCATATGATGGTGGGCGTGGGTGTGGCGCAGGCTCTCGCTCCGAAGTCATTTCACCCTGCCCCGTCCTAAGTCCTCTTGTTTTCTCTGCCCATACCCTGATCTCACGGCGTCTGGGAACGCGAGGTAGGAAAAGACTATCCCCACTGATCTCGAAAGCTTCGCCTTCTTCCTCTAGAACTCGTGCATCTACCAGACGCTGACGTATGCGTATCCGGCCAGGCTTTTCGGGAGTTTCGTACGGAACTCTCACTTTCTTCGTATTGCTTTCAATCTCAGCGTCCGTTATCGTGAGTTTTGAAGCATCTGTTTGACTCAGACTTGCTAGCCAATCATCGGTGAACACATCTGCCGGTTCCAACATGGGGGTACTTTGTGGTGAGGTATCATGCACGACCAAATTTTCCGATTCCGTCAAAGTATGTGTAGGAACCTGGGAGTCCTTTGCTCTTAGCTCTTTCGTCTGCTTGACCCATTCTTCAACTTCTTCGGGTCGGGCTCCGCGTTGGGCTCCGCGTTCCAAGAAGTATTCGCCGGGATGTGTCGGATCAGAAATGAACCCTGCCTCAGTGAGGACGCGTTCGTCCACTAGGCTTGTCTTAATTGTCGTTCGAGTCCTGGTTATGAACTCTCCTAAGCCATGCCAACTAGTTCCCGTAGAGATCACAATTTCTCCGCGTTCAATTGCAGCGTCCATGATCGAAGATCCTGAGCCAGTCGGCCGTACGTGGGTTGTCGAAGTGTTGTCATCGGGTGCAGCGGTCTCCACGCTTGCATCTTCCCATTTCGGATTTTGAATACAATGAGCGCACAGTATATCCATTCTGTCGACGAAGTCGTAGTTTGAAGGATGACTTTTCCTTTGCCAGTTTGGGCATGGGTATTGCATGTAGCCACTACCAGGACGCGGTAAAAGAGTCGCAGACCAAGTCGACTTATCCTCCGCGTTCTTCACCAACCCATCAGATTCCAGCTGTCTAAGCACCGGCTGAAGTTCACTCCGTTGAGTATCGAGCGTAGTCGCGAGGTCTGAGATGTTCTCGCTCACGCCATGCAGACTTCTCAGGTATGTCAAAGCACGATGAGAGAGACTGTTTGATGCATCTTCATCATGATTGGAATCGTTCTCTAGATGAGATTCGGCATTGAAAAGCTCGAAAAGCTCTTCCATGATAGTGTTGCTCTCATCCGATGGATGCTGCTTCGTGGACTCGAGGGACTCCATAGCAAGTTGTTGAGAGATGGGAGAGGTACCAACGTGGGGAGACGATCCAGTGTCTTGACCGATCTCTGGTTCAGCTTCGTCGAATCTCTTTTGCAACTCGAGTAGCGATTTTCTGCCCAAGTCGGTCAAATACCACACCCTTCCACTACCCTCACTATAGATGAACCCGTCGGCTGCTAGACCTCTGAGTGCAGGCCATAATACATCGGTATTAGTTTGGAGCTGATCCATGAGGGCCAAGAACAGTTGTCTCCCGCCTGCATTCTTGATGTTTCCCAAGACTAGACCAGCCAAAACATCCGTGTCAGTGCTGCTGAGACTTTTCGTTTGATCCTCTCGGTTCGACAAAGGAAACTCGGTGCCTGGCTGTGAGATAACCCATGTCTCGCTATCGACAGTGTTGTGGACTTTTCCTTCTGTAGCGAGACATTGCAAAGTATAAGCGATGAGCCTACGGTAGTAGAGTCCGAACTCAGTAGCGATGTTCTCGAACTTTTGACCGATGTACGAGCTAGGTCGCGTCTTGAAATCATTGTCGAGGTAAGCAAGGATACGTGTGTCGAGTGAAGCGTCCCTTATCTTTTGATCCATACTAAAGTAACGGACGTCATCCATTTGGTCTTTGACCTCGCCCAGACTTTGATTCTCTCCAGGAAAGTCTGCTGCATCGAATGCTTCTCCAGTGTCCTCTGACTGTGTAACTGGCGCTTTCATTGGTTCTGGGCTTGTTGTTTGTTCGACCTCCGTAGATGCTGGTTTCTTCTCCGCTTGGCTATTGCGATTGACAGCCTGTTGAAGCACGACGAACAAGGCGTCTGCTTCTGCCTTTCCGTCGGTGCGAAAAAACCATGCGTCCTTCGGCTTACTTGCTCCTCTTTCCCGTTCTCCAAACTTTTCCACCCATAGACATGCCACATTATTGTAGGTCAATGTATCGTCATCGCTACTACGATCCAATTCCAGAATAGCATTCGTGAGGTGTATTGTATTATGGTACTGGTCTGGACGGTCGTCTTTCTCAAATTCCACGAAGATCTTGCTCTCGTAGACGTGTAGAATGGTATCAAAACGGATGTGAGTTCCCCCCGGATCGAGAGCCGTAGCACGTATGACAGCACGTGGCGCGGTGGTGTCTAGTGTAGTGGAACCCGCACCTTCCTCGTCCTCGGCAGCAGAGCGACCGGTCAATCTGCTCCACATGCCACCGGAGGATTGCTGGACTTGGTCGTCGAGTTTTGCGGCATCGGGATTGTTGACGCTAGCAAATGGATCTTCAAGAACATCTCGTCCGCTTTCCGAGGCAATCGTCGCTTCCGGGCCCGTTGTCTTCTCAGCCTCCGCCCTTCTCTTCTTCTCCTGATTGTGGCGCCCGATATCAATAAGTCTTTTGAAAAGCTCGATAAGCGCGATTGTATCACCAACGTTTGAGCTACGAAAATGCCACATTTCTCCCTGGTCTGATCCTGGCGGTACTCTCCACAAAGACGCTGTCGTTTCTTTGCTGCGGTGCACATCTATGGCAGTATCAGTGAAATCTATCGACGCATACGGAGTATGGCCAGTAGATTCTCCGTATAGATTAGGATCATAATCCCCAGAGTACATCTCGATCTTGGTCCTGAAGATCTGAACCCATGAGTAGAACCAGTCTCCAGTATCGGTACGTGGGGATAAGACTTCCACTCGAACTACATGGGGTCGCTCAGTAGCCTGCGCAATATTGTCCGGGTCTTTTGGTACCGAAGGGTGCTGCGAGACAGGTGTATCAAGGTCCGCCGTGTCAGGCTTTTCGACTTGAGCATATGCATTCTCAGACATATAAAGTCCACCTTTTGCAACGGTGGAAAGTAACAGCATGGAGCTAGGCAGTCGTTCAACCGGTATCTCCAGCTGTTCACCTGAATCCAGCCCGTCCGCTTTGCTCCACACAAGCGCATTTTCTGACATCTCCATCCGCTGCAGAACCGCTTCGGCGAAATGGAAGCCGGGCTCGCAGAGTTTGTGGGTTCTCTCATAGAGACCGGTTTCGCACACTTTGCAAGTTCCGACATGTAGTTCAAAGTCCATGAAAGTCTTGGCTTCGTCGTCATTCCAGGCCCGCGACTTTACCGGTTGTTCGCCAAATCGCGCCCTGCGCCAGTTCTTTTGTCCATAGATCGTTAGAGAAGGCAGACCCGTGGGAAGCATTAATGACGAAAAAGAGCTTTCCTCGACCTGCGCAGGCTGTTCCGCCAAGATAGTAGGCGAAGCATTGCCCTTCGTTGGCGGGAAGTACACCGGTAAAAGGCTCTTATAGATGAACTCGTCATTCGAAGAGAAGACCACGAAGATGATCTTGTCAAGCCCATTACCCGGCTCAGCGGATTCCAGAAAACGTTTCACTTCCTCCATCGCCAACGACGCGCAGTCGCGTCGTGGGTAGTTTCGCATACCAGTTCCGATACTGGGTATCGCGATAGAAGTCGCTCTCATGAGTACAGCATCATGCAAAACTGCCCGGTAGATGTTCCTCAAGATGTTCTTGGTATCGCTTCTGAACACCCCAGGAGGGACAACATGCAGGATGTGTTTGGCTGGGAGAAGGTATCCGGCAGTCGCTTTGACATCGCCCTCTTCACATTTCCCGAAAGTCGAGACTTCCGAGCGCAGTTTGTCTCCTCCTTTCTTGAAGATGCTGCGATCTAAAGTGCCCATTCCGGAGAAGCTTGGATCAGTTGAGTTTACCACGATGTCGACCTCCAGTTTCGTGATGTCATCTCTCAGTAGGCAAACAGTGTGGTTGAAACGATTCGAGGGTTTCGCCATGGTAGGCTTCGCTTCCAGCTGTCCCAGTGTGTAGAGTCTCGCTACGGGGGGTATTTGATGAACTTGGACGAGTCCGCGGATCTTCGGGGTGGGCTGTTCAGCCTCACGTACGTACAGCACCTCATCCAGATGGTCGCGGATACCTTCAGCATCTTGTCCCTTCTGCTTGACACCATAGGTCTCCAGGATGTGACGCGCTCGTCCCATCGCATCTGGTTCAGCTTTGCCAAGTATCAGCACCTCTTCTAAGCTGTTGGCGAATATCCAGCTGTAGTCAAAGACGCTCGTAAGCTCGAATCCATGCTTGGCTCGTATATCGGTGTTGGCTTCGGTCCAAATAGACTGCGCATTCCCAGCAGGCCCCTGTTTACGTGCTTGCTCGGCCATATCCAAAATGTCAGCACATGCCGTAAAAATGACAGAGCATAGTAGGTTGAGGTCGCCCAGACTCCGCTTGAGCTCTTTCGACCCCAAGAGATATTTGCGGATCGAACTCAGCGTAGAGTCGATCCTACGCATGTCGTGAGCACAGACCGTACTTTGCGTGCCAAAGTCGTAGGTAACAGTGATTGCAGTCAATGCATTTTGGAGTTGCGTACGCGCCTCTAGAACCTGAGCTGCTAGCGCAGCACGATTTGCGGACCAGTCAGAAGTTCTGGCTCTGTCCAAGTCTCCATGCGTGGGTGGAAAGAATACCGGTAAGAAGTCGGTATACGCCTTCTCATCGATTGCTGCTCGCACACAGAAGATGATCCGCTCAGGTCGATGTCTAGGATGTGAATCCAGGTACTCTCTCATCTCTTGCAGCGCTATACGTGCAGCAACACGTGCAGGAAACATGCAACCTCCAGTACCCAGACAAGGAAAGGCGATGGTTTTGAACTCGTGGTTGGCCGCCATTTTCATAGCACTCCGATAGCACTCGGAAAGGACGTTGAATTGGCCAACGCCTTTGCGACCTGTATATCCTGGCGCAGCTGCATGAATCACCCATGAGCTCGGAAGCTTGTGTCCGTGTGTAAGTTCGACTTGGCCGACTTTGACCTTGGGTTTTGATTTCGCCTCTTCCCTGAGCCCTGAGCCACCGGCTTTGTAAATAGCGTGGTGCAAAGAATCTGGATCTGGATCGGCCTGGAAATTGGCTGAAGCATTGTTGACGATAGCATCCACTTGCAACCTTGTCAGATCATAATGACAGAACGAAATCATCTGATTGTAGGTATCGTTTGGCGCAAAGCTCTGATCGCGCTGCAACAGCCGCCGGGACTGGTAAAGCGAGCGTAACGTAGGTATTTCGGCAGTCGTAATAATCGCTTGTTTGCTTGATGCTTCATCTTCTTCATCATAGGTTTCAGATCCGGACGGAAGTATATCCGCTTCTTCGGTGGTCTGTGTGTCCGCCGTTGGCTGGCGGTTGAATGAATTCTTTCCTATAGTGAAGATGTGGTCAGTACGATGATCCTACAGCAAGCTTTCGTGGCACTTAGCTAGACATCAACTTACTGTCCGTACCAGTGACTCTGGTAAACTTCCACTTGCTTTTGTTATTTTTACTCTGGAATTGAACATCGGGGAAGCGCTCAGTATCAAAGAGTGTTGTTGCTGCTTCACCAACCAGATCATCCGCAAACGTGATCAGGCCAGTCCATGAGCCGTAACCTCGATAGAACCGAACCGACAGAACTCCTGGCAAAGATGAGACGTGTTGTCTGAAGGCCTCTCGTTCTTCTAGATGTTTTTGATGCTCAGGCAGTATATTGTCGTCCAGCTGTCCATCATCGGGTTGCTCGTCTTCCGAATCGTCTGGGTCTTCCACCTGATTTGAGATCATCGCCATTCGATTGTTACTCTCATCAGGAAGTTGCTGCAGCGTCTCTGCGGACAGCAAACTTTGACTAGGATCAGCTACATGATCTGGCCCGAATGACTGCTCAGACTCCAGGTCTCTATTGAGCGCAAGCGACGCGTTGCTTTCATCGGAATCTATCGGCTCGGATAAAGCCTGGGTGTTGCAGCTACCACGACTCGCAGTGCCACTCGCACCGTCTTCGTCGTCTGCTCTGCCATGCGGCAGAGCGAAGGTAGCGAAGCGCTCCAAATGATTCGCAAGGTGGTTTTGTAGGTCACCCACACCTTTGGTATCTGTGGGAACATGGCATATCGGACACCTTGTGCGTGTGTCAATTCCTGTTGTTTCACCAATGCTAGCGACGATCGCTACCTGGTTCTCCGGAAGACTTCCGACGTGCGTTTGCAGGAGATGGGCTTCGAGACCTGATCTGGAGTTGTAAATTGCTGTTGGATGCTCTGGGCACCGCCACAATGCACGATGAGTCGCCTCGTGTTCCGCCCATTCTCGACGGCTACGAAAGAGTTGTCCTGGACTCTCACACTCTTGATATGTGCAGATGTATGGCTGAAGATCATGCAACAAATGTGTCTTCCACGCTCGTCCCTTACCATATCTTGCGGGACAGACTACCCAACAGTACGGGCACTCAAAGTCCTTGTCGCCGCTCGCAGCTTTTGGAGGTGGGGGTAATTCGATTCCCTTGCCGTTCATGTCTTTCACTGTTGGAGCGTAACTCGTGACGGATTTGCTGTCTACAATGTCATCTAATGACTGATAGTGCTGTGTCGCTTCCGTGCCCGATAGTAAAGTCCTGCCAGTCTTTTGGCTGGGCGTGGGTTGCATAACGGCGGGCAGGGTAACAATCTAGGATTAAGATTAGAAGAGATACGAATCGGTGGCTCAGTAGCGGTGATGTAATTATCGTAGCGAGTCTTGTAACTCGGAGCATGGCAGCCTTGTAACCTTGATTATGGGAGCAATGGAAAAAGCACAAGGAACGTACGTACCGGATGAGCTCCGGGGGTGTCATCAGGGACTGGGTCTGATGTCTGATGCGAAGCGAACATGTCAGGTTTTGGTGTCTCATCAGGAACTGCAGTAGCACCCAATTTATCACGATCTACAATGGTCAGATCGAATAACTGCACTGTTGTAGCATCCGAGACTTACGCCGCTTCCAGTACTTGAAATGCCGCCTGCGCAAAGTGATAGCTGAACTTAGCCGCTCAGCCAAGAAGTCTTGTACTTCATCAGGATGCGAATTTCGCAGCTCCGAAAGTAGCTCGTAAACATGCCGTTTGTCCTGGTTGGCATATTCCTCGAGGACGTCAACGCCGGTCTCGAGATCTTTCAAGGTATACGAGGAGGCTTTGAGCGATCTCAAGCGTACGCTAGGCGTTCTGATGCGGACGCTAAGTTTGTAGAGATTGTCGATTATGTCGATTATCTCTTCGAGTCGCATCTTCAGCTCAATCCTCTCCTCATCACTGTCACTTTCGTCCTCATCCTCCTCTTCGACAAAGAAGTCATCATCGCTCTCCTCGTCCTCAGGTTCGTCAGGTGGTGGTTGCGCTTCATACGGCAGACGCGCTTCTGACACGACGGCATGGGTTTCGCTGAGGTTGTGTTCAAGCTCGTTCAACAGTTTGAGCGCACTGCTGGACAAATTCGGGGAGTCGCGCAATCTGTAGTCGAGCGAGCTGTGGCCTTTTTGCAACGCACCTAGGTTACCAGCCCAGACTCGAAATCTTCCGATCTCGTCATTGAGTGCGTCGTCATCTATCCATTGCGCCCACTTGCCTTGGCTCGTCGCGAGAGCGTCGGTAAGGATTCGGAAGGCGCGCACATTAGAAGCTGTCGCGAGCCTGAGAGTCGACATAACTACGCAGGCTGCCCCACGGCGCAAGCGAGCCGGATCGTGTTCGCCCTACCCGGAGTCAAGCATCGAAGTAAATGCGGTCAGACTGATGCGTCGTTGATGCGCAGAGTCAAGTCGTTAAGACTAATGAGGGTCAACAGGCCGCGGTGTATAAAGCTATCGTCAATCTCAATGAGAGTGTAAGTCGTTTAGTCAGCGACAGTGCCACCACTGTGCTGCCTGATGAGTGTGGGAAGATGCTAGGTTCTTTCCAGATTGGTGGGGCGCAGTTTAGGCGCCTTGCGGGCAGTCACACTTTCGTCCGACCTCGTATCGCTTGATAATCCGAAGGCTCTTCAAACTCTTACGGCTTGCGCAAGGAGATGACTGTGTCGTAATTCGTCGCTGTGTTCCACCGTGTGCCTGCAGGTGCTGCCTGCCTCGAGATCCAGCCGCGAACCCCGCTCGGTCCTTCCGTCGCGCGTCAATGACACGCACCATCCACGTCCATCCACAATCCACTGGCAGTCGCTACAATGAGCGGAATAGAGATAGCTGGCCTCGTACTTGGCTGTTTACCGCTCATCATACAAGGTGCGATGCGGTTTAACGAAAAGACACTAGCCGTCATCTGCTTACTGTGGGCTAGGGATTGAAAGCTACCAGGAAGGTGCCAGCGCCTTTAAGAGTTTCATGGGCAGAGACCATGAGCTTCTCGCGTTTGTCAGGAAGCTCAGAGCCCAGTATGATCACTTCAATCAAACGATCCAAATCCTCTTTGGGTCCATCTCGTCAGACACCGAGCTTGCGACGATGATGGCTGATCCACAGCTGTCTAAGGAGCTGTGGAAGAGCAAGGAGATGGCGCTCCGAGACCGGCTCCAGGATGCTTATACCTCATATCAAACCATCATGGAAGAAGTGGAGAGTATAACAAAAAAGATCGCGATCAGATTGAATCTAGATCGTGCAACCGAGGTCAGCAAGCTGCGTACATTGTCATTTTCATCTTGTTAACTTGGCTGGCAGCTCAACCGAAATGACCTTGAAGCGTTAATTGCCGCAAATCCAAGAACGACTAACGACAAGTTTGAGTTCAGGAAACGCGTCAAATTCGTGTGGAACAAAAATAAAGTCAAGATACTACTAGACGATCTGGACGAGTGCAATCGACAACTCGAGCGATTCACAGAAAAGAGCAAAATGATTGAGACGTGTCATAAACCGATGAAGCCCGTCTATGCCACGCGCGTACACAAGTTGCAACGGTACGCCAAGGCTCTGCACGAGTCGCTCGCCGTGTGCTGGTCATGCTCTTGCAAGTCTTCGCATATGGCGCGTCTTCAACTTGAAGCTCGCGATAACGTTTTTGCGCCGACGCATCAAAAGATGTTCCCATCTTCTAAGAATTCTTCTAAAACGAGCTTCAATGTTACCTTCTCAACTGTCTCGTCGGATGAAAATGGTGTCCCCTGGTCGTTCCAAGCGGCCGAGATCTGTGTCGATGATGAGGAAGACGCTTACCTGAGCCCAATGGGCTCCCCCAAACCAAACAAGATGGGAAGGAACGCAAGCTTTCAGTCGCTTCCTCCGTACACAGAAGCAGACCCCGCGAATAACATACTGCCGACTTACGAAGAAGTCAAGGACCTCTGCGCATCTATCCAGCAGGTGCACAAGAGTTCTTCGACGATCGGATTCTCGCTAGACAGCAAACAGAAATTGCGAGGTGCGTATGTTGTCGACACTAGAGAAGCACACATCCCCAGTGCAGAACTGGTATCTCTCGGGACTCTACTTGAGCGACCCCCACTCGTCAATGGAAGACGCTCCAAATTAAGCAGGAAAGACAGATTCAGTTTGGCCTTAACCTTGGCGTCTAGCGCATTGTACCTCAACTCGACCCCATGGCTTCATCATGACTGGACAGCGCGAGATGTCCTTTTCCACCGAACAACAGATGCTACGCGCCCAGTCGATCTCAGCCGTCCATATCTTTCTCCGACCGTAATCGAGGGTCCAAACAACGGATTGAAAGGCCCCAACAAAATGGATTTCCAGAACAGCTTCCTGCTCGCGCTGGCTGTAGCATTGCTAGAGCTTCACTGTGGGACTACTGCGGAGAGATATGAAGAGCTCGAACTTCAGAGTGATACCACAGATGCACCGAACCACCAGAGTATGAGACGTCTTTTATTGGTACATTCTTGGATGCAGAACGAGGCGGGGGATCTGTCTGCTGCTTACCAGGGTGCCATCACTCATTGCATGAAAGAGTATATCAACCCTAACGCCAGTCTGCAGAACGCCGACTGCCTCCAAGCTGCAGTTGAGAACATCGTGATACCTTTGCAAGAGGAGCTTGATCAATTCCTGGGCAAAAAGCTCTAGCGCAACGCGTTTTCGGTATGGGATTAGAGCGGCGATAGCGTTCGAGCATGCATCCAAAATGCTGGCACTCACCCAATTACTAGCACAAAGCATTTCAAGAATTGAGCACAGCGATACGAAAGCGCGCAAGCAGACGGAGCCGCGCCTCCCAACTACATGCCGGGTCGGGACGAAGGCCGCTTACCCAACGCGCATCAGCTCGTATCCGACCCACGCGGCGGGCAATACGACTCTGGGGTAGATCAGGCCAACTAGTGCGGCAAATCCCCGAAGCCAAACTGAACGTCGCAGGACGAGCGGCGAGGTCAGAGGTTGCGATGGAGGATGAACAATGTATCCACAATAGCCACATCGGTTACCATGCGATGTGGCGAGAGAGGGCGGGGCCTAAAAATAGGAGTATGAGCAAACAGCCTCACACGACCCCCGCACCCCGCTGCTGCTCACGGCGAATTTCGCACAAACGCATGTTCCCGGTTGCGCGGCAAGAATGTGATTCGAAGGGGTGTCGTACGAAGCTTTACTAGTGGAGGAGGAGGCACTTGGCGGGGTACAAAGTTCAAGGACGGGCTCTGGTAGTACATGACGGATGCTAAGGCTGCGACGCAATCAGGGCTACATATCACGCTGTAGCGGAATTCGCCGGCATGTTAATCTGAAACGCAATCCAAGGCTACACTTGATCACTCGCATTCGCTCGACACAGTGCATGGCCGTCAATCTTACATGTGCAATACGTGCTTGCCGACTATCGGTCTACGTCATGAACTCTGCTGACCGCATCATGGACCGACATTAGCTGGACCCTTTGGGAGATTATGGCGGAAATTGGAGATCTTAGCGGGGGGAGCGCATTATCTGCGTCGAAGGATGCGGTAGCTGGTGAGTGAAGACGGAATAGCAAGGCGCGCATCAAGCCACGCCGGCCAGCCTTATCTACAGCTTTGGAACTTGCTAGAAATTGCTTGTTGTACGTGGCCGAAGCGTTTGACCGAGCTGGCGCGTTTGAGCATAGGTGCGGCAGAAGTGTCGGACATTGGGATTGTTTTTCCCAAGACACGGCGAGAGCATAAAAGTGGCTCTGTTTCGTTTTACACCGCCTGGACGACGCCAGAGATGCAAGCTGCACCTCCTAACGGGGAAGGGAGCGATAACAAGCTAAGCAAGCGAAGCCACCCGGCAAAGCCTCTAGTTGGCGCGCACGACGCCGCCCAAGTCTGAAACAGGCCCACGGTTGGACGAACGGCGCCGACGTGAGGCGGCCAAAATGGGCCGCATGGGGGTTAGGGGAGGGAGTGAATTGGCCACGGCAAGCTGTCGGTTGTGTAAAAGGAAGTGATGTCTGGTGGTGGTGATACTGGGTGGCAACGGCGATACCTAGGGGTGTTAAGCGCTATTAATAACTTAATGACCGCAAAGCCGGGGGTAATTCAAGTTGGCTACGGAGAGGGGAGGGTGGAGAGGGTGAGGAGAGGAGGGAGCGGCGGCGTTGAGTGGTTGCAGGGCTTTGTTATGCAGGCGACGAACCATAACAACAACGCAACCAGCGTCCTCACGACCGCACCACGACACTACTGTTGTAGACTTGTAATCATTCACCCTACGGTTTGGCGTGCTCCTGTCCTGAAGCAGTGGGCCAGTGTGCGCATTCAACGCTCGTCAATCGGTCCAGGGCCATCCCGGTCGAGCTTTGTCTTGGCGTGTCGGCACCCCTTAACGTCACCTGCAATCCGTTTTCTCGATTCCAATTCAAGCTCCTGCCACGCCGACGCAGCTCAAGTTACTTCAATCCCCCCAGCGCTCCAAGCCGCTCGACACTCGCTGAGCCCCGGAACACTCACAGCCCGCCAGCGCAGAGCGCACCCTCACGCTCTTTTCGCTGTTCCGCGCTCCCTCGCCCACCACCACCGCCATGGCACAACAGTACGAGCCCCCGGACTTGCTGGCGCCGCTCCCCCGCGCAGCACCTGGCAGCACCTGGCTAACAGCAGCGCAGAATCACGGCGTCCTTGAAGGACTTCTGGCACACGATGACGTCGTACGACCGCCACGCCTCGCACGACTCGCCCTACCGCACCGGCCGGCACATCCCCATCCCCCAGAGCCGCCACGCCGCCCTCACCTCCATCACGGCCAGCGGCGCCGAGTCCCGCACCGACCTGCACTCGCCCTACCAGCACGACGAGCTCGCGACGAGCAATGGCTTCATCGGCTCGCCCAAGGGCCCCATGTCCCCCAGCTCCCCCTACTCGCCCGGCATGCGCGGCTCCCTCAGCCGCCAGGCCACCATGGACTCGGACACGTTCCCCCAGGGCGCCAACGGCCAGATCCCCATGCAGGACTTCAACGAGGGCCTGCCCCCGCCGCCGCCTGTCAGCCACTCGTGGCGGCGCATCGACCGCTGGGTCGAGGACCACTACCAAGAGCTCTTCGACAACATGTGCGAGGGCTGCACATCCAACGACGTCAACGAGCTGGAGCACGAGCTTGACGCGACCCTGCCCATGGACATCCGCGAGTCGCTGCAGGTCCACGATGGCCAGGAGCGTGGCGGACTGCCGACCGGTGTCCTCTTCGGTCTCATGCTGCTCGACTGCGAGGAGATTGTCATGGAGTGGAAGAACTGGCGGAAGGTCGCCGAGGAGTACCTCACCACAAAGGTCGACTACCGCACACCGCAGATCCCAGTAAAGGCCTTTGCTGGCTCCTCGACCGCTCCCCCCGTTGCCACAGTCCAGAGCACAGGCAACCCGCTCTGGCGACAGGACCTCCTCGCGCGCCAGGACTCACAGCCCCAGGGCGCCGTACAAAAGGCATACGCCCACCCCGCATGGATCCCTCTCGCTCGCGACTGGGGAGGCAACTACCTCGCCGTTGATCTTGCCCCTGGTCCCAACGGCCAATGGGGCCAGATCATCATTTTCGGCCGCGACTACGACACCAAATACGTTGTCGCGCGCTCATGGGGCGCGCTATTGGCCATGGTCGCGGATGACTTTGCCTCAAAAGACGTATCCATGGACGAGGAGACGGGCGAGCTGAAGCTGCTAGCTTTCAAGCGCCAGAACGTAGAGCCGCCCTACCTAGAAGTCCTCCGCTGGCGGTGTGACCAGAAGCACGGCCGCCGGCCACCCAAGAGACGCCCAAACAGCGGTCTGCGCGTCAACCCCAATGCGCCGGGTATGGTCGTCCCCAGTAGCACTGCGAGCAGCCCCTACCACAGCCCCGTAATGGGCCCCGAAGACCGCGGCCGAAGCCCCCACCGCCTATCCAAACCGCCCAAGGGCGTCAGCCCACGAGGCAAGCTCTCCAGCCCGCTAGCCCGGGTCGCAGAAGAAAACCCAGCACCCATCCGTGTGCACACCAACCTCGACTCCAAGACCGCGACTCCCCAGGAGAACCTCATCTCCATGGACACCCCGCGACCAAGCGACGAGTTCCCCGCCGCTCGTCTGCCCACACCGCGTGATAGCCTCAGCAGCGACAAGGAGAACAAGGATGTCAAAGATGACAAGGAGAACAAGGACACGAAACCAGCTGCCCCCGCCGCGGCCGCGGCCGCTCCCGCGCGCTCGTCGCTCAAGAGCCCCGTCACTGCCACCGAGGCGGAAGACCTCAAGACCGTCGAGATATAGGAATCGAGGCGTAATCATTTGCCCTTCTACCACCACCACCACCATCACAATAACAACGCTTCTTCCCACCATTGATGAATCTACTACTTTTTTAGAAAGAGAGCGAGCGAGATAGAAAGAAACGGCTGGATACCTAAGGGACAGAAGCAATATACACGTTTATGGAGTAAGCAACGGCGTAGCAAGGGAAACTTGGGTGGCGGGAATCAGTGGGGCGCGGATTGGGGATTAAAGCATGTGCAAACATTAATTCTTTCTACGGTCTTGACTGAAGTGTGTGTGTATTGATGCGAGCATTTTCTCTCCCTACGTCCCCATTTTCAAGGTTTCTTTGCGAAAGGACAAGGCTGAGGAGAGGCCGATTCTGTGCAAATAGGCGTTTCTCTTCTTCTTCGATTCTTCGATTCTGGCTGATTGATTGAATGCAACTGTTTACTACTTCTTCTTCTTCTTCTTCTTTTCTTGCTTTCACATGTAACAACTTTCAGCGGATGCGCTATCTAGTACGCACGTTATTATGTGGAAATGTAACAACACAGTACAATGTCAATCTGATTTTCTTCATATGCTACGAAGATCATCGACTGTCGTTCGTTACCTGTACGACGCCGCGGACCAAGACTTCCACATGTTTACCATATTTCCTTTTCCCTCACACCTAGCTACCCTTTCTATGCTTCTTTCGGTGTTTTTCCCTTCTGCCCCCGCTGCCCGCTTTCTTTCGCGCTCTCGGACTAGCCATCTGACAATCAACCCACTTGGGGCATATTTGCTTCTTCCCGTTCTGCATACCATGACTCGGCTATCCCATATCCACGTATCCACTTAGAATGTTGTTGCGCCTTCCCGCGCCTCCCTCCCCCCTCTTTCCGCTTCGAACTTCCCGGGAGGTTTCATGACATACCCGCTTGTTTCGGGGGTTGCTATTCTGGTGTTGAAACTTGTGCTGTGTGTCTGGGTGAGTGTTTGGAGGGGTGTTTGTTCCGAGAAGGAGGAGGAGTGGAAGGCATGGTTGCGCAAGAAGAGAGACGGGGTTGGTGGTATCCAGGTGTGTTGCAAGATAGACATGGCATGGAATTTGGTCGTCATGTCCGCGGATACTGGTCATGTGGTACTTGGGCCTTGGCTGTGCTGGTGGATTATGCAGCGGGGAAAGGTGAACATTAGGTTTGTACCCGCAACTTGGTTCCTTGGTCCCATGGCATGTCGACCTCTCTGCTGGCATAGGTATGGGAACGAGGATACCGTTTTCTGACTGACTTGGAAAAGGGCGGGGTGTTTACTGTGCCTCCTCGTGACACGGCCTCTCTCTGCTTTGTTCGCATGGCGAACACCAAGGTTCTGTTGCGAACAGCATGTGAGTCAACGAAACGGCGTGCATCAACTGCTATGTTTGACAGCAGTCGCCTCGGTGCTTTCTTTCCTCCACGAAGATACCTAGGTGTGCTTTTTCTACTAGTGACCGACCAGTGTCGCTGTGCTATTTTCCCCTCCCGCCAAGATGACCACATCCCTTGGGATAACTGCATCCAAGCGATGTAAGCTAGAAACCCTCCTAGCTAACTCCACGACACTCCTCGGCTGTACGTTAGTCGTTTTCGTCACCACAGTCTTTACACAGTTATTACACAGTCATTACCTAGCTCGCGAGCCCTACGATAGTTTTAACAGCAGTCACAGTACATTTAATTAATCCTACGTGGATTATTATATCTAGTTCTTCGTCTAAATACACGCACAACTATCACACCCTACAGAACCGGTCACTGGACGAGTTGATTTCAGCTTCGACACCCTTCCTCCTTCCCTTCGACACAGCAGCAATGGCCCCAGGGATGACAATGCTTCGCCTCAGCATGAGAGTGGTGGAGATCCAAATGAGAAGGATGAGGAAAGAAATCAAGGCGAAGCAGAGGCAGAAGGACGAAGTAAGAGTTGATTCATTAGAACAGCGAGAGGGCGGAATGGGATGAATATTGCGAGGGGACGGTAGATCTGACGCGCATGAACTACCGACACTATTTTCTGCTTCGGAAGTGCAGTCTGGAGAGATGGTCAAGGAGAAGGTCATAACGACGAAGAAGGTGGTAGTGACGGTGATGGTGACGGAACACTGGGCATTCAACATTCGCATAACAACCGCAAGGCTCGCATACAGGCCTGCCACTTCATCATACATCGAACTCTACTCCAGCACAAGAACGGCCCGAACGCTACACGAGCCGCCTTTGCCTGAAAGCCATCAAGCCAGCGCCAATTATCCTCGCTGAGTCTTACTGGTCATACACCGGCGTGCCGTGCAACAGCGCTCCTTCACCTGCATGCGGGGTAAGAACTCACCCCCAATCACCTGTATGAACTCCGCTTACGCGTTTTGAAAACCATTAGAGAGCCAAAAACCACATAATCACACGACATGCACACAATACAGGACCGTGCCCGCGCCGCACGCACGTACAGCTGATTTGGGGTGAACGGGCAATCTGATGAGGGGTTGTTGGCTTCAGCCTTGGTGGGTTTGAATGATGGAAAGTAACACCTTTATCCGTACTTGGCGATATCTTCATCCCTTTTATTTGCACCGTTTAGCTTCATCATAACAATGTCCAACCCATTTGAACTTGCGCCAGATGCTGCCGCCGGGTTCTCCGCCTCTATTGACGTCGACGATGCGGTTGTTCGCTGTAAGGGCCAACTCCAAGACTTGGTACTTTACCTATTGCCTGACGCGCCGTTTATCTAGTCTTTCCAGAAGGATCAAAGATTGTGACTGCTGTTGGTCATGGCGCGAGTCTGTGGACGCGATCCGCTCGAATCGACGTCGAAACGTCAGACGGGACACCGAAATCCTACTTCATCAAAGTCTGTTTCACGGGTCTCTTCCTCTAGGTTAATACACCGCAGAAAAGCGATCTGACCAATGCGAAAACAGGTCGCGCCAGGTCCGAATGGCCGCAGTATGCTAGAAGGCGAGTACCACTCAGCCGTCGACATGCGCGAAGTTCTGCCCGGCTTCTCACCCATTCCCATCGGATGGGGCGTTTTCGATTCCGACGAAGACCTCGCTTTCTTCCTGCAAGCCTTCCATGACATGGATACCGAGATACCCGATATGGACCAGTTGACCAGAACGCTCGCCGAGTTTCACATCAAAAGCGAGGAGCGCTTTGAGGAGCTTACGCGGGGTCGACGCCCCGATGGCATCAAGTTCGGTTATCACGTCACGACGCACAACGGCAAGCTGTCGCAGGACAATACTTGGACGCGAACCTGGGAAGAATACTTTGTGCAGAATATGAGGAGGATGCTGGAGCATGATGAGAAGGAGGGGGGTGAGCGCCCGCAGGAGATCGAAGAGTTGCTCGAGCCGCTCTTCGAAAAGGTCATACCGAGGCTCTTGCGCCCTATGGAAATGAAAGGACGGGAGGTGAAGCCCTCACTCATTCATGGCGATTTGTGGTATGGCAACACTTCGACCGATCACGAGAACAACGTGCCGATCGTGTATGACGCATGTTGCTTCTGGGGCCATAATGAGTGTAAGTGACAGATCGAGTTTGTAGACTGTTAGCTGACATTTTGCTTCCTATAGACGAGATCAGGACCATGCGCGCAAAGACACGATATCGCTTCGGCAAAGCCCAACAAAGGGCGTACCTGCAACACTATCCTGCTGCATATCCAATTGAAGATTTCGAAGCAAGGAATGCGCTGTACCATCTGTAAGTAGCCGAAGCTTGTAATCATTTGATGGAAAGACCATTCTGATACCTGCGACAGCCGAAGCCAACTCCATGATTGCGCCCTATTCCCTCAAAACCCACGATATTGTCAAACGTACGTACAAGAAAAAAAGAACTCCTAGTAAATATGATCACGCTAACACACGAACTAGCTTTACGGAGGAAACGAAGAAGCTAGTGGATATGTTCCCCGATGGCCTGGAAGGCTGGCTATCACAGCAAGAAGCGCAGAAGGAGTCCGAGTCGGCTCCGGAGAAGAATGCGTAGGCGCAGGACCGTCGTGTTGGCGATAAGTTCTTCAAGTCCTTGGCACAATCAGAATGCAATAGTGTAGGTTAACGGTCGTTTGATGACAGCAATTTCATCCTTTCTCGCAATCACCAGTTCACCATTCGTCGTGAGGAGTAGCAGAGGCCGGTTGTTCGCTTTGAGCCACTCGTCAGGAATGAACATATGGTGTGCGCATTTAGCGCCTTGGACACCGAGGGTGAGTGAGCATAGCCACAGGTCCTTGTCCAGGAAGTACAGCTTGTTGCCCTGGATGCCGATGATGTGCTCCACTTTTGTGGCATCGCCCGACGCCATAGGGTGCAGTACGTGTGGAGCTGCGCCTGTTTTGTGGAAGCTCGAGCAGTCTAGCAGAGCAGTAAGTATCGTGGATGGGCGCTTGCCACCCTTGGACAACGCGATACCGATGTGTTTTCGGCCGGACGTTGGTGCTGCGTGTTGCACGATCAACTTTGGCTCTCCGTCGGCAAATATCTCCGTCTTCCCCAGGGTTGATAGCAAACTAAAGTCGTTCCATGAATATTGCGTGATGATATTGTATTGTATCGCGAAGAGCATGTTTGGTTGGCTGGGGTCGTTAGCCCAGATTTCATCGGACGTCGGCTCAGATTTGCTGCTGATTCCATCAGCTTCTAGGTCGAAATGTACGACTGAGTCGTTCAAAACGACTAACAGCTTGGAGCCTTGATTGTTGAAGAGCAGCTGGCGTATAGGCTCTTGGTAGTGTATGTGCAGAATATCCTTGCACGCCCATTGGCCTAGAGCCTGGTACGATTTTACGATGAGCTCGTTCGTTCCGCCAATACTCGCGATAGTCCTAGGGCTGATGGCGATTTGGGATATCCAGCTACCTGTCGCATGTTCGTACAGGAGCTGAATGCGGCTTCCCTTTTCCGTCTGGTGCAATGCCACAGCGCCGTTATCGGTACCGCACAAAACGAACTTGCCGCAAGCCGTGGCAGCTACAGCAGAGATCTCCGCTACTTCCTCTTCTACTATAACATTCTCGTCGTGCGTTGGCAGCATATCTGACATGCTCTCCGTCTCTTGAGGTTCTGTGCGCATCAAGACTGGCGGCTCCCACACATTGCATTGCGACTCGCGGATATCGATAAGACGCTCGCTGTTGGCACTGAACGAGATTTTTCGGATGGCATGATTTGACTTATGAGTTATCTTGTAAAGAAGTCTCAGCGTCTCGGCCTCGTAAAGTAATATCGCACCAGTACTGTCACCGACCGCGAGCGTGCGACCATCGGGGCTACAGGCAAGTTTTTCGACTTCGAAGTCATGAACCATGTCGATCAACGCACCTTGGGCGCTGGGATCGTACGTTGCAAGCCCTCCGTCTCGGTAGACAACGGCTAGCAGATTGATGTCTGAGCTTGGACAGAACTCTATCGCGGCAGCAGGCTCTAAGAAGTCGAACGTTTCGGCGTTGAAGCTCGAGTCGGGCTCGCATTGACCAATCTCTTCGTTGGTATCGAGCTCTGATAGAATGATCGGATGACCACGATGTACTGTGGCAAGCATGTTCGAAGCGACATCAAGACTGGCACATGTTATGTCGCCACCAGGAAAAAGCTGGAGACCTCGTCCTGCATTCGAGTAGGGGCGCACAGTCATCTTTAAAAGTCTGCCGTCCGTGGAATCTCGTACTACCAGAACATTGTTTCTTGTGATGCCGATGATCTGGCGATCCTCTTGAGCAAATGAGAGTGCCAATGGCTCAGCGGTGACTTTCTCTTCCCACACTTTGACGCCATCAAAAACGTTCCAGAGCTTCACGAGTCTCAGTCCTGCGGAAACCAACATGTCACCCGATGAGCTGTAGTGCAGGATCTTGACCATCTCTTTATGTTGGAATGAGCAAATCTCCTGGAACGTAGCGTGGTCATATACAAACACCATCCCGCTTTGTAAGCCGACAGCAAATGTAGACTCTCCGCTCGCGACTGCAGTGGCAAGCTTCCCATGGAAAGACATACCGCAGAGCCGATCGTCCCATGAGTCGTTCGAGATACCGACTACATCAATACCCCTGCGGCTGTCATACTGAAGGAGGAAAGCACTCTCGCGCGGTACTAGGGGAGGAATGAGTCCGTAGATCGACTGAGGTAGCCTGAGTAGATTCTTGCCGAATTTGGCCACAACACGAACCAGGTCTATAGACCATTGCTGCACGCACTGCGATTTCTTGTCGATCAATGGCTTGTGCTTTGCTCGTGCTTGTAGAAAGCCGCGTAGATTTTGCGAGGCTTGTATGAGGGGTCGCAGCTTTCCAGTCGCGGCAACGTGTTCGATCCAGCTCAGGCCACTCGTTGTGAGAAACTTGTAGATGCTGTCCAACAGAATGTCGTCTTCAGAAGTTCCTCGACGGACGTGATCACTGAAATGAAGACATGCGTATTGGGCGAACGGCGACGTCTCAAGTCGGCGGTCGATGCGCACTGTGGACGGTCCAGGAGAGGCCAGCATCCGTACGGGTCTCATCTGGGAACTCTTGAGGTACTCCAGACATAACGTCGCTAGAGAATGGTGTGCATTCGTCGAGTTTGTTGCGAAAGTCTCAAAAAGCCCGTAGTTCAGCAGGTAGTCGCGGGCTGTCTGATGCACTAAGCACACGCGGCTGGACCTGTCGACAAATATGAGATTGCCACATGCTGATTTGATGGCATGTTCAAGCAATGTAATCCGAAGGTGGATTTTCAATGCATTAGCAAGTTCCGCAACGGTCAATGGGTACATGGCACACACGACGATACTTAAGATGGCTCTCGTAAGCTTCTTGCCCTCCTCGTCGGTATCCAGAATTTCCGTCAGCGTCCTTTTGTAAAGCTTGTCCATGCCAGGTGGCATCTCGTCCAAAATGCGCTCAACGTCTTCAATGCTATAAGCATGCTCTAGCTTTTCCATCACCAACTGCACCCAGAGGAAACAGCCTTCAGACTTTTGTAGTATCTTCTCAGTGAGATGTAACCGACGTTCCACTGGCTCCCGTTGAAGTTTGTGTGATTGTAGGCCGTTCTCCACGTATCTCTTGATGTTGTGTTGAATGTCGTCAGCCCCGAAACTGTGTTCAGATACCCTCGCACCTACAACGGCCATTTTTGTCCTAATCTGCGGCGTTGGTCGGCTGGTGATTAGTATCTTTATCTGATAGACCGCTTCCAGTTTGCTGATCATGTTGAGGAACACTTCGAAGTCGCGGCATTCGTCCAAAGCATCGATAATCCAGTACTGCGGTCGACGGATGGGGCACGTGAAAATACCGCCAACAAAGAGCTTCCGCCATATGATCTTCTCTTTCGAGCTATCGAACTGAACGCCAGTCTCCTTCAGCCGCAGAAGCTTCTCCCGGACACAAGGGTTCAGTAGCGCCATTTGATATGCTATGGATCGCAACATGCCGCTGACCGTTGACTTAGATCGTTCTTCTAACGAGAAGAAATAGTAGCAACAGTCCATGTTGACAGCTTCAAGATGGCCCACGATCTGGCTTGCCAAGGTAGATTTCCCTGCGCCGGGCATAGCATTGACCCATAAGACTTCCAGAGACTGAGGAATGGTTGGACTCGCTGGCAGAATCATGTCGTACACGGTGCTATCACGCCAGTTGCGGAACAACTCCAGATCCAAGAACCACAGACCCGAACCCGGGAGCGCGAGGTCCTCCAGCTCGCAAAGATCGTCTTCCGGTTTGTCGCGCACATCCAGATATTCTTGCAGGCCGCGCAGCATCTGCACATCGTGCGCATGTTGTTTCGAAGACACTGTGGCAAAGAATGTGAGTGGGGCCAATTGACACTGCGAATATCACTTACCATGTCGCATGATCGTTTCTATCGCCTGACAGAGCGAGTTCCGAAGAAGGATGAAGTCCGGATCTTTGGGACTGTCGAACTTGCATATGCCGCGGTGGTTCTTATTCATGGATATCCTTTTTTCATGTTCGTAGCCTAGAACGGCGGAGTCCGCGCTGACTATCATTTGTGATGTGCCTGCCCATGTTTCCAAAGTCTCGTAGAAGGAATATAGCTGCAAGGTCTTTGAGAAGCGTGGGAAGTCATTGTTGATGGTTTGTATCATGACGGAAGCGGGTTGAAGGTCCTTAACATAGGGTTTGGCACCATGAAACGGTGAAAGAGCGACGAGTAGCTCCGCCGACTTGGCGCTGTCGGATCCTTTGTGCGGAGTACCGAGGAAGAAGATGCTTGCAATCCGACCTGCGATGTCTTCATAGTTGGGGTTTCCATGAGCCTCGATGTGCGCCTCCCATTGTTAGCTTCATGTCTTATCAGATATAACGCCGGCCGTACCTTTTTCACAAGAAGACCACCCATACTGTGCGCAACGAAAATGATCTTGGAATGCGGCGTCTCTCTCATTGAAGGAGAACTCTGTATGGAAGCTAGTAGCGTTCCAGCGATGTGGTTTATGTTGAGGATACTCGATTTGGTGTTCATCCAGTCAGACTTGTATCCGAAGCTGTGAACGCGGGCGTTCTGGAAGCCTGGGTCTCTAGACAACCATTCTTTCGGCCAAAAATGTTCCAGCCTTTTGGAGCTGCTCCATGTCTTCCGAGACCCTCCTTGTAATCCATGCACGAAGATAATATCCACCAGAGGCTGAGGTGAACTGAAGAGCGTGTTCAGTCCGAGCGGGCCGAAGACATCTTCATCGTTGAAGTTCGTTGAATCGGCTATCGAGAGGGAGGATAGGACGCGCTCTAGAGACTCGGTGTCGAGAGTGTCTTTCGTCTTTCGTCGGCGGCCGAACTACGCTCGACGTGTCAGCATCTCATTTCGCCTCATTACAGATGGTTGGCGTCTTACGGGATAGTCCATTGCGTCCGAATCTACTTATCTTCATGCCGATAATAGATCCGCCCGAAGTCGTGAATAGATGTTGCGTATGTCCGCCGATCCGAGGCTGGAGAGAACTTCAGTCTCAATGTCAGACGTGCCAAGCCGTCTAACACACGTTTGTATCCGAGTGTGACTCTCGAATGATGACCACGACGGTATTGAAACGTAACGCCGGTGCTCAAGTAATGCAGTAACGCGGCACGGGTGGGCTGAGTGCATGCCGCATCTGCAGGCGAGCAACATGGGCACATGGGCTTGATATGCGTGACACGTACAGCGCATCGCCGATTGCTGCCTATGTAAGGAATTGAGTCGGCTGCTTGCAGTGTCAATACCTGCTCGCTGTTGCGTCTGGTCCCAAAACCATCGACAGAATGGCCCGATCCGCCACAACCGTCATTATTGGAGCAGGTATCAACGGGTTAGCCACAGCCTTTTACCTGGCGAGCGCTTGCAAGACCGGAGAAACTATTGTCATCGTCGAGACATCTCCAGATGTCGTGAGTTCTGCGTCTGGAAAGGCTAACGGTGTCTTGTCGGATTACGGTCGTATAGCTCCTACTGCTGAGCTGGCCCATCTATCATGGAAGCTGCACCAGCAACTTGCGATAACGTATGAAGGCGCCATCAGATGGGGATACGCAAAAACCGTGAGGCATAAGTTGTTGAGTGCGAGGGACCCAGTGCCTGAGTTTCACGCCCAGTACCCTTTGCCAGAATGGATCCGCAGGCGAGACCAGTATTGCCAGGTGACCATGGGTAACCCACACGATTGTGCACGCTTGTACGTATACACGACTTGACGTAGAACGCTCTCGGCTGATCGATCTAAGGGACACGCGCAAGTTTATCGAATTTCTCCGTCAGAAATGCGAAGAGTTTGGTGTCAAGATGCTTTTTGAGTCGGAGGTTCACCGTGTGCACACTGAACAAGAAGAGCTGACAGGAGTCACAATCAAGCACAACGACGAGCTCCGCGAAGTCGAGTGCGCTACCCTCGTGATAGCGGCAGGATCATGGAGTGGCAGAGTCCTTGAGAAGTTGTTCCCCTCGTCTAGTTTCCAGCTCGAATTTGAGGCGAGTGATCGATCCGCAGGTAACTGGCTGATTCTGAAGGCCCCGCGCCCTTCGAACACCGAGTATTGCCACCAAGTGTATGTCGAAAACGTCGCTGGAGCGCCAGTAGAAATATCCGATTATCGAGACGGACGACTCTACGTAGGCGGCTACGTTGGCGATACCGAAATCATGCCTGCAACAGCGGTAGAGGTAATACCTCAAGCCGCGTCGATCGCCGTCATGAAGGAAATCGCTTCACGATTCGTAGATATCGATGATATCGAGCTGGCAGTATTGGAAACCGGACGCTGTTATCGACCGATCCTGGCTGAGGGTAGGCCAATCATTGCAAAAATCCCAATGCGCACTTTGATGGGGAAGCTCTCTAATGCAGCACGAGAGCCGTATATGCCGGGCGGTGTTTATGTCAATACGGGACAAGGTACAAGCGGAATCTGCATGGGTCCTGGCAGTGGATTGGTCATGAGCGAGCTCATCCGCGGGCTGCAGCCTTCAGCCGATGTCAGTGGCTTGAACTTGCCCGCGTGACAGACATGCTGTGTGTGGCCCTGTCAATGAAGGAAGCCAGTTTGGCCGATGCGAAGCACACACGGGCGGCTATGACCACCTGGGCATGTGGCGAATCGTCGTGTCCGCGACCCTCATACCGTAACAAAATTGTGTATGCGTTAAGGGAGCAACAAGATAGTCGTGCTATGCGCACGATTCGAAAAGAGAGATGATGGGTTGATGAAAGTGAATCGTGGTGCGACGCGTCTCTCATCCGGAGACGAAAAGAGGGGCTGGCATCCCGACGCGTCCCGCCCGCACGCTATCGAATGGCTTGCCAAGACTACCTCATCAACCCCCTACTTCATCAAACCACAGCGATCTTTTACAACGATAAGGGCTTGGCATCGATGCATAAAGTGCTATTTTGTACCTAGGTAGTCTTGAGGCTCGAAGAACGTCGACAACTGCGCGTCGTGTCCAGGCCAAAGAGAAAACACGACTTCCACATCATGTTACGAACATCGATGCGGTCGGTGATGAGCGCAGGTACGCTTCATTTATAGTATTCATCTCTGACATTCGCATTCATTACTTCAACATCACTTCTCCTTGATGTGAACGCCAACTCCCTCTCCAACCTCCCAAAATGCCACAGTCCTCTCCGCAATCGTCTTGGGGTTCAGCACCTTATTCTCCGGCGCTACAACTCCCTCGACATAAACCAGCCCGATATGCACGCCACTATCACTGAACGCACGATTAAAGCTCTCCACCATATTCTTCTGCGAAGCCTTCACCAGACTCAGTGAAAGGAGTTGCGGTACCGGATCCCATGGCAGGTGGCTATTCGTAACGAGAAGAGCGGGCTTGAGCGACGAGTTTGACTTGGCCAGGCTCTGGAGTCGGGGGATGTAGTGCTGTGCTACGACGTAGAGGGCTAGGTTCGTGGTCTGCATATTTCCGTTAGAGTCTGGTCCTTCATGTGGTTGTCGAAGAGGGAATCATTACTTTGAAGTCTTCCTCAATCTCCTCCACGCTGACACCCAGGACATCGTTCGGCTTTATACGAGCAGCGTTGAAGAATACGACTTCTACATCTTCGCCTTCGGTCATACTGTCGATCTGCTTGAGTATATCTGGGATGGACTTTGTGTCTGCGAGATCGATGCGCAGAGTGTCGACTTTGACAGAGGAGCTACTTTTGCTGACAAAAGGCGCATCTTCCTTTTCGAGGCGTTCCGTGTTGCGCGACAGAAGAATAATGTGCTCGATACCTTTGCACGCAAACTCAGCAGCAACGTGATTACCGATTCCTGGCCCCGCGCCGAAGATGATGAGGGTGCGTGTCATGTTGAAGTGCTCAGGGTGTGATGCCGTCGATGTGGTATGCAGGAAGTGATTCTGCCGATGGGGCTGGAGCCTCTGAATTTATATCTCGCAGCTCATACAAACCACACTTCCAATCATAACGTCGTCAAAGGTCTCGCTCGCGCATCTTACTATTACCTAATCGCATCCAAAACACGCTTACGGATGGCTTTTGTCCCGAGGTCGTCCATAGGGCGTACTTGGGTTTATAAATCGATGCTTACTGCTGCAGCACATGCTTGTGTATGATATTACCGGAGCTCGCAGAGTTGTGAGATGGAATGTTGGTGTTCAGGTCTGCTCGAAAAAGAAATGTTCGTCATGATCCCAGACGCGTCAGGCTGGACCCACCTGTATTTGCCCATCGCGCTACGTTAGCGCCTCGCGTCATATACCCATCTCCGCTCTCGATCGCCTCACCGACGTTGTTAGTGATTCCGGAGGCTGAATTACTAACAGCATCATGTTGTTAGGGTGAGAGTGCGCGTTGCTTAGGCATGGTCAAGCTTTGGGAAGCTTTCTGTGCTGAGTAAGATGCGAGGTCTGCGGGGTCGCTACCAGATCTACGACCGTACCAAGATCTCATCTCATGTCACGCGAATTCCCGGTTCGCTACTTCATCGCCATCTTGATGCATAATGTGAACGCGAGAAACAATGAAGATAGGCAAAGGCTGGAATGTATCGCGTCGGCTCAGAATGACTCATTTTGACCAACCCTCTTTGGGCCAGATAAGGCGCACCTTTATATCGAGAACGAGCCGCGAACATCTTCCACGATGTCTTTTCCTTGATCCGCTTAGAATAACACCATGTCGCAACGAACAAGAGATACCACGCTCGCCAGCGGTTTCACAAAGACGATACATAAGAAACCGACCGCCGCCTTAGACCCAGCTTCCAACAAATTACCAAAGCCGCTCAACGTCCTCATAATCGGTGCATCTCGCGGCATTGGAGCCGGAATTGCATACGCATATGCACAAGCGGGTGCCGCGTCTCTCATCTTAGCAGCAAGGTCATCTTCAGCCCAAGAGCTAGCAGCAGTCGCAAAACAAGCTCAAACCCTTAACTCTTCGACATCGGTCAAGAGCCTGGAAGTCGATATAATATCCAATGAAAGCGTTGCGCAACTTGCGAGGAACGTGAAAGAAGAAGTGGAAAGGCTGGACGTTGTGATCGTCAATTCGGGGTACTCAGGACCGGTAGTGTTGAAAGTCGACCAAGGCAATCCGCAAGATTTCCAAGATGTGTTCGATGTCAATGTGCAAGGCACATATCTCATTGCGCACCACTTCATTCCGCTGCTGAAGGAGAGTGATGGCGCGAAGACTTTCATAGCCATCAATTCCTTTGCAGCATGCATCACCAACGGCCACATTGCGAATACTGCGTATTGCATCTCGAAATTTGCGCAGGCACGTCTTGTTGAGTTTTTATCAGAGCAGTATGGTCCGGATGGTATACTAGCGGTTGCTGTGCATCCTGGGGCTGTGAATACTGAGATGGCGGATAAGACTACGCCTGACAGCTTCCGTTCTTGTGAGTGCATCGCTGCATGATTGTGGTATTCTTTTGCTGACTTTGTAGATCTCACAGATGATGTTGGTCTTGGTGGCGCGTTTTGCGTGTGGTTAAGCAGTGAGAAGCGGATGTGGTTGAATGGCCGGTTGCTGGGTGCGACGTGGGATGTTGACGAGTTACTGGAGAAGAAAGCCCAGATAGAGGAGCAAGACTTGCTCAAGTTTGGTTATAGGGTTGGCGATGCTTCGGCCGTCGGGAAGCGAATATGAAACTGGTCGTACGACAGGCTATATCGTGTCTTCGGGCGTTGCCTCCATGCCTCTTTCCCAATCTACTAATCCAATGACGTTGCCTCGATCATACATACACGATCCCCTGTAAGCAGCAGAAAGCACGTCTCGCAAGTGCTGAGAACTGTAGTTACCCAAGTCTGGGCCGAGCGAAGCCTTCCGTAGACTGGTGCCGACAAGACATAGATCCAGCGTGAGATTGGGGTAGTTGACGGAGAATTGTGTTTACAGAATCAGTGGAAGAATGTGGCGCAGAGGAACGTGTATATGAATACAAGATTCTCACATCTTTGATCAGACGACTCCCAGGAGCGGTTTTGGAGTTTTCATCGCGTAAGCTTCAGATATTTTCTGTGGGTATATAATACTATCAGAGGGATTATACACTACCAGCATGAGTACCGAAATGGACATCCTCCGGAGTTCTTGCGGATATGTCGCGACTGATAAGAATAATCGCATGAAGATGCGCTTCTCCGCGAGAAAGGCGTGTCTAAATAAGCTCCTCCGTCCCATCATTCACCTACAAAAGGCCACACCCTCTTCCTCTACGTAAAGCCAGTCGACGCAGCCCCTTCCTTCGCACACCTCCCCGTCCACTCCTTCGCATGTTTCTCAAACTTCCCCCTCTCATTCGCATACTCGTTCGCAATCTTCACCTCGACCGCGCTCTCCAACTCCGGATGATCCAACAATGTCCTCAAACTCATCAGCACCTTCTCCATTGTATTGTTGTGATGCCAATCTTCACCTAGCATCCTCCAGCTCACGACCCCGGTTCTTCCGTCCACATTAGGATGGTAGATTTTCGTTGTGAAGTTTAGTTTGGGTGGTGCCTCTGGATATTCGTCGGTGAATTGGATGTGGAAGTTGAAGCTTCCGCCTTCGTAGGGTGAGTTCTCGAGGCCGTGGAGGGTGCCTGTCCATTCGAAGATGTCGCCGTGTTTTAGTTCGACGTGGTAGCCGTCCGCGGGGGTTTTGCGCAGGCTGTGGTACTCTTTTTCGAGGCGTTTTTTGGTGGGCGTCATGTTGTGAGGTAATGTTACTCGAATGCCTTTCAATAATGGAGATAGGATATATAGGCAACGGATATGATGCGACAATGTTGTCGCGCAGCTGAAGAAGAAAGATGTTGAGAACGTTGGCTTGGTTTGGCCTACGTCATAGCGCGACTGTTGTGGTGCGCGTTGGTCCGACGCGACTTCCCATCCTTTTCTACCAACGCGCCTCAAATTTGCACTATTGGAACGCACACATGCTCATTGGATTGAACGCCTTATCGAAATTCGGCAAGTAGTATTTCTCCATTGCGATATGCGCTAGCGCCTGCGCTCAGCAGGCGGTCACACAGCTTCTCTGTTGCAATCATCCTGTGTAACCTCATCAACCATATGGAGATGCATTATTGCAGATACCTTCCAGTATGTTGGCACACCTTGCTCTTTAAGTCCCGCCATTCCAGTCATGCGTGCTGGTTCTCGCGAACCTCGTCGCGCATCGACATCTTGCCAAGATCCACTCTTGCATCGAACCCGAGAGCTCCGCCATTCGCTTGCTGTATGGCTTCCGTCTCGCTACGACTAGCGGCGTACAGATCAATTCATTATCCCATTTCGTCGCCGTTCTACCCTCCCGCCTGGGTAACAGGTCTGCCTTAGAGTTTGCGGCGCTGACGTTATCTCCGTAGCGTGCCGCGCATCCGAAGAAGAGACTCTGGACCCTACGTCTCCGTCCGGTCGAGAAACTTCGCAGCCTTGCCTGCAAACTCCATAAGACCCATAGCATCTGTTCCCGGACGGTACCTCGCCGTCAATCGAATGTACGCATTTTCGTGGGAAACCTCGGCTTTCCCACTTCGCACGTCCATTAGCAGGCGGCGAAAAGCATCGTCTTCGATTTGCTTCGTTAGCCTCATCAGCTCCTGAGTATCAAGCGGTAGGTAATCGGTCCAGAACGGCGCTATGCCCGTTCTTTGGTAGACTTCAGTAAGCGCATGCTGAAGGTCTTCGTCGTGCTTGAGGCGAGATACCAAGCTGTTGGCCTCCACGAGCTTGTCGTAGAACTCGACGAGGGTACCGCCGCGAAGTTCATTGGCGAGCTTGATATTGTATGGCTTGGCCGACGTGGGCTCTCTGAGGAGGGCCAAATCAGCCTCCATAAGCATATCGCTATACGCCACGAGCGAACCAGGTGCCATCGAGAAGGAAACCCGTGTAGGAGCTCTCGGGAAAGAGAAGTCGCTGTTACTTGTCGCCGGCTGGTTCACGCCCTGATCCAAACCAGTCACCGGTGCATTGCCGCCATGGTCAGCGCTCGAAGACCTTGACGCCGATCGATAGCGGTATCCAGAACGGCCACGAGGAACGGTGACGAAAGCTACCATTTGCTGAGGAGACCGCGACCGGGTGACTCGTCTACGCTGCCTCAAGATATCACGCACCGACTTCTGATATCTATGGATCAGCGTGGAGAAGTTGCTGCTATACATGTAGTTGTGCCACATCTCCTGTCGACCTGTTGAGTACTCGTTGAGTATGAGCGATGGGGCTGAAGCCATTTGCCTCCTTACAATCCTTCGATCTATGCCTCGAAGAATGTCGAATTCTGCATAGCGCGCCATATCGATCAGCTGGCTCTCGGGAAGGCGGGTCCGGGATGATGATTGAGCCGGATTCCTCCACTTGAGAGCGCAGTACAAGCCGACTAGAGTTTTAAAGCGAAAGTCTTCGTTGATGCAGAGAAGACGTGTCGATTGCTGACGAAGCGGCCGAAGATCCCTCAACTCCTCATCCGATAGTGTGTCTTCTGCAGCTTGAGCAGCGGAACGGGCGGAGATCGTCTCTTCGTTAAGCGTAGGCGCGCTCGGCTCTTCTGGCGCTGATGACAGCACAGCCGTGGTCGAGGCGGTATCGATAGCTGTTGCTTGGGTTGGTACTTCGCTAATGGATGTAGTGTCGGCAGGCTGGTGAGGAAGCTGAAGTTGTTACTAACGTACGAGTCAGAAAGACTACGGAGCCTAACTAACCGGTACATCTTGCCCTTCCGACACGGTGGCAAAATACTTTACGTAGGCCTCTTGCACAACTCTTGGAGGTTTAACAGACTAGATCTGGTTAGCAACGAGCTCTATAAGTCAGGATGACGGAGTGCTCTACGTCAGTCTGCGTTTCAGCTCGAACTTTGGGTGAAGAATCTTCGCCGACTTCTATGTTATTGGTAGCCGTTGGAGTTTCTTGATCTGGTACAGCAGGGTGCGCAGGTGGCCGATCTTGCAGCACTTGGGTAAGCAAGGACTCTATCCTTGACAGCCTAGTCTTGACCTCGTCAATGTCAGCCTTGGTCGCAAGCCCTGTGACACCGCGCGCGACTGTGTCTCCGATTCTCTGTAGAAGCACAGCGGAACTGATTGTCTGGCGGCTGGACAAAGAAGACATTGTAAAGCTCTTGATGTCTTGTGGTGGTGTGTGCTGGTGGTTGTGGAATTGAAGTGAAAGATCGTGCCGAGCGCGCTCCGCTGGAAAGGACTTTGATGAGAAGGTTGAAAGTTACAAGAGTCTGATTGAAGTGGTTGAGCTGGTCGGTGGGCGTTAAGGTCTTTCATCGGGCGGCTGGCCTGCGTTTATATCCTCCCAGGGAGTCGCTGAATACATCATGTGATGGTTCCCTTCGCTTGGTGAATGACTGTGGCGCTGCCCATTGCCATGGTCCGTGGAGAGGCAGCTATGGCATATGTTGCAGCTGAAGTGAATGCTGTATAGGCGGAGGGTCTTGTACGTTCTGGTGTGTATTGGAGGCGTAGACCTGCGTAAGGTCATACGGTTTGCGAAAGGGGAACTTAGGAAAAGTCACAGTTGTCTACTAGTGTTAGTAGTAGAGTGTTTAATGTAGTATATAGAATACTATCTAGTAAGCGCTTAAAATAATAAACAAGCTAATACTAACAAAGACTTCTCTACGCGGGATAAGGCACATACTAATAGTTATAGCGCTAGGCGACTATAAGGAGGTACGCGTTAATGATAATAGAATACTGTGAAATTAGGAAGAAAGATACATTACATTATATACCCACGGTTGATTTGCGGGTTCATCAGTGGCCTTTACTTAACCTTTTCTGCCTTACTGGCACACCACAGAGCTGATAGCTTTCATTCGGATACATTACCACGTTGTCACAATGGTGGAGCGGAACGCGCCGATGACTACCACTGCGCAGCGGCAACATAGTGACTGAACAATGCATTCATCTGTAGTCATTCCACAGCAACAAGGTACCACCGTTCATAAGGCGAAGAAACCCCATTGCAGTAATCACCCCACCAATTCACCCCTTCTCTTCTTCACCAAGGAAGCAAAACAAGTACAAGAGTTTGCCTCTACACTACAACTTACAAAGCCTCCACACTCCATCGAATCCGCTCAACATGGACCAAACCCGCGCAGAGACAATCACCGATTTCTTCCAAACCCTCATGGACCTCAACGTCAAGATCCCCAAGCTAGCTCGTGGCATGGAAGTAAAGCTACTAGCTGCATGTATGGATGCGGGCGTAGCTCCCTTTTGGGATGACTTCACTGAGCTTTCTCTACCGCAGCTGCTCACTCTGGCTAGAAAGATGGAGCATGAGGCGGCAGATATGGTTAACGCTAGAATGCAGGGAAATGATTGGGATGATGAGGATATGAGGGAGCAGGAGAGGGAGTATAGGAAAGCAGTGGCTAAGGTTGGGCCTAACAGTACGCCGAAGGGGTTGGAGGAGTTTGCGGGAAGGGCGAAGATGATGGTGGAGCTGGATAAGATGGAGAGGGATATTGAGAAGGGTATGTCGGGATTGAAGGTGTGAGGTGACGGGATAGTGATGGTGTAGGGAGGGGACGAGGTGCTGAGCTGCCGCTTTTGCGATGTAGTTGCGTAATACGAGATCGACGGGTTTTCCACCGTAATTGCACCGTTGCTAAACGTCCCCTGAAGGCGTCAACTGACGATACTCCATGACCGTCTCACCAAAGCAGCGAGTATCCTGTATCCATTGTAGGAAGTGGTTCGCAGCCTGAACATATCGAGTCTCTTGCTCCTGATATGTCAAAGGCGTGTCGATGTACTTTTGCTCAAGATCGCTCCGCATGCGAGCTTCCAGTCTAGACACGAGATCGGCCACCTCGGCTGGCTGGAGAAGGAGCTGGTCAAGGTTGTGTGTGGCGCTCACACTGGAGTTCATGGCGTTGATAGCGTTCGTAAGGGCGGAGATGAATGAGCCCTTGATGTCTTGGACTGGTGGAGGAGGATATGAGTGATACTCTGCATCAGCAGTATGAGCAGCACCGCTATCGCCACGCAACCCAAAAGCGTCGACGACATGGCCCTTTGCCGACGAGATGAAGTTCCTCAGACGCCGATGGTAGCCCTTCACTTTGTTCACGAAAGAGTTAAGTCTGCAGCAATCACGGAGCTCAGACTCAGACTGGCTTTCGTACGCTCTTTCGATTGCCGCATCATCTCGCTTGAAGATTGAGCCCTGCATTGCGGAGTCGATGCGGTGAAGGACTGCGAGTTCGTCTTGATGCACCATATCCATCATCTCTGAGGGTTGTAAGCGCTCTTTCTGCGCTGATCTTGCTTTGTCGTTCATGCGCTTCGCTTTGCGTAGCATACGGCAGAGAAAGTGTCGGCGCTTGTCGACAGACAATCCCTGTAGCAAAGGCGGGGCTTTCAGAGGATCGAGCGCGTCGAACTCTTCCTGGTTGAGCGTCGGATCGGCCCAGCTATCGTGAGCGGATACGTCGGCCATCTCGACGTCTCTGGAATACAAGACCTCTTTTACTCTTGCTAGGAAGTTGCTTGTATCACCCAGGGCGATAAGCTCCATTTGTACTCCGTCTTTGTACTTCTCATCAAGCCACGTGTCTGACGGCGGATTAGAACGAGATAATACTTCCATGTGTATGTCATGGAGGACCTTGGCATCCAGACTATGCATCAGCTCGTAAAGCCCATTCTGATCGAGCAGCATGCCCTGGAAGGGGCTTAACTCGCAGTGCATTCTTTCCACTTCGTCATGGAAGAACTCCAGCCCTTTTTGGCGGAGCTCGTAAGAGATTCCGTCGAGGTAGCCGTAATCCCCTTGCCTTGGCGCTAACTTCGTGTGTGCAGGTGAAGTCGACTCCGGGGATGCATTACCGGGCTGGAATGTGAATACAGCGCCAAGGAAAGGAGAGTTTGCGGATCCTGGAGCGTGATCGGTCTGGACATCTGGAGCACCATCGAAGTCATAGTCCATGTCGTCCGATTCAGCTGCAGTGGTTGCATTTCCCTCATGGCTGTCATTCCAGTTGGAGCCAGTCTTCATCGGAAGTGTGGTGGTCTGCATGGGGCCAGCGGCCCAGCCCGAAGTCACATTCCGCTTGGCAGCGAGGATGGCAGTAGGCACAGGCACACCCGAGCAATCACTGACCTTGGAGACGAAACGGCTAATTAGAGCGAAAAAGTCCTGCTTGTCTGATATATGTTCAAGCTCGAACTTGATAGCAGCGGTTAACTCCTTGTACCGATCGTCGGTGATCGCGATGTCCGTGGCGGTGATGTGGTAGTCGATGGCTTTGCTCAGTATGCCCTCAAGCGAATCCAAAGCCTCGTTGTCGTTGTGGAAAATCCTCTCCCTGCGGAAGATGCTGTTCAGGGATGAACCGATGTCTTTCACGCCCAGCTTGCGGACTCGCTTGGGAAGAGTAGAGCCGACGACGTATATGACTGTGGTGCGCTCAATGTTCTTGTCGATGGCGAAGTCGGTGAAGCCGCTGAGCGCTGCTTTGACGTGCGCGAGATCATGGCTCGCTGGGGGTTGTGCAGCCTATGAGATGTTAATCACGAGTCTAGCGATCAGGACACGATACCAACCATAGACGAGCCATACGATGCGCCGCTGGCGAACATGGTAGCAGAGTCCATGGCCTCTATGATGTTAGATCTTGACCCATGGAGTTGATTTTAACGCCTTACAAGACTGCGGTCGACTAGGCTGTGCTCGGAGGTGACAATAGTAGACTGTGTATGCGTGTGTGATAAGGAGTGGCAAAGCAGAACCAGTAGGGAGCGATTTGTCTAGCAGAAACTGTGAAGTTCACAGCGAATGAAAGTGTGTGATAGAGGAAATCAACCGATAGAAGCGCTGATGGTTCAGGGAGTGTGGATGCGAGAAGTGCGTCTGTGCCAGTGGTGTTGAGCTGGGTAGCAGAGGGGCGATGGTAGTTCACAGCGTCAGAGGCGGCGCGGGATAAAGCATTGTTCGAGTCGCCAAGACTGCCAGCAAAGCGCGTTACGGGCCAGGTGCTATTGTAGCTATTGTGGCGGGTTTTCGTGGTAGTGAAAGTGCAAAACGGCCGAGCACCAGCGCAAGGTGAGCTGCAGAGAATGAAAACACGCGCCCGATCTTACAATGTTTTGCGGGATCGTTCCCAGATGCGCATCCACAAGGTCACCAGTATGAGCACTTATCCGTGACAGTGGTACGATTGGCATGATCTTCTTGGAGTTCTGATTTCTTGGCGCTGTCTGCGCGGGATATCACAGCTCTCCGTCTAGGTGTTTGCGTCCTGCATCATCCGTAGTATGTACAATCGCTGTGCCCGATATCGACCCCAGTTGCTTGCATGTAATCCACACCCCTGCTGATGCTCATCAAGAGCTCAATGGTCCCATGGGTGCTTCCAGCCGAGGAGCGCTGGACCGTCCTTCTTCGCGCGGTACATCAACTGCGATTGTTAGCGCGATGCCACCTTCAATTTGTTCGTTCCACGTACGAAGAACCACATGGATGCGCCGAGGCCAGTAGCCATGAATCGGTATAGCGGTCGGACCGGGTGGATGTGAATGGGGTGGTTCGGGTGCGGCGCATATTTGGGCGGGCCCATGCGGGCTCGTGTGGGTTGCATGATGACTGGGAGCCTGGCGGACTATCAGTACTGTGAGATGATTGTAGGTTATGACAGCAGGCCGTACCTGGTTGCTATGGGGTGCAATGGCCTGTTGACGTCTTCGTGATGGAGGTGTGGTTAAGGTCGATCGGAGGCTACGCTAGCGTGCGGCGCCAAGCCAGTGCCATCAACCGTGGATCGCGTTCTTTGCTCCTTCACCTACGATAATGTCTTCGCCTATCATCATGCACACACAATAGCTTCTGCCTCCTAACTCCCGTTCATGGCAGCGCATGCCATCGCGACCACGTAAACCTCGCTACATCACGCCACCGGTATCGAGAAATAGCCCGACTCTCCTGCGGACATCTGCGCCGAGGACCACTAGCAGCCGGTACAAAGCGTAACCGCGAATCTTCCATCGCGAACCCAAGCCACCACCACCACCGCCGCCGACATGGCGAACTCGGCAGGCGCGACGCCATCGCAGACCCTGCAGCGACGATTCAAAGGATGCAGCAAGATCGGCGAATACGAAATGATGAAGAAGCTTGGAGAGGGCACTTTTGGTGAAGTCCACATGGCGCGACAGAAGGCTACTGGCAGCATCTTTGCACTGAAGAAGATCTTGATGCACAACGAAAAGGATGGCTTCCCTATTACGGCGCTGCGAGAGATCAAGCTGCTCAAGATGCTATCGCACGACAACGTCCTCAAGTTGGAAGAGATGGCCGTGGAACGACCAAAGACCGAGGGCAGGAAACGCGCCATCTTGTACATGGTCACCCCATACGCAGACCACGATCTATCAGGTCTCCTCGACAACCCCGAAGTCCAGTTCAAGGAGGCGCAAATCAAGTGCTACATGCTGCAGCTGTTCAAAGGCCTGCGATACCTCCACGATAACCACATCCTACATCGAGACATGAAGGCCGCCAATCTCCTCATCAACAACCGCGGACGGCTACAAATAGCGGATTTCGGTCTCGCGCGACACTACGACGAGGCGGTACCGCAACGAGGCAGGGGCAACGGCGAGGCGAAGCGCGAATACACTACATTGGTTGTGACTAGATGGTATCGACCTCCGGAGCTTCTTTTGCAGCTGAGGAAGTACACGCCGGCCATCGACATGTGGGGTGCGGGTTGTGTGTTTGGAGAGATGTTCAAGCGCAAGCCCATCCTCGCAGGACAGAGCGACATTCACCAAGCACAGATCATCTTCGAGCTGGTCGGGTCACCAAATGACGACAGCATGCCGGGGTGGCGCGATCTCCCTGGCGCCGAACCCATACGCGCATTCCCCGTTCACACCGGTACCATCGCTCAACGGTTCCGCGAGCTCTCGCCCGTCGGACTATCGCTCATCAAAGACCTCATGAGACTCGACTGGCGGAAACGAATCAACGCCATCGACGCCATCGACCACCCATACTTCCGAGAACAGCCACTTCCCATGCGCGAGGAGGACATTCCCACCTTCGCAGACTCACACGAGCTAGATCGACGGAACGCGCGAGGCCAAAAGCAAGCACTACCACCAGCACCACAAGGCGGCACAGTAGGCGGCGGACCAAACGGCGAATGGACCGGCCAAGGACCACCACCACAATCATGGCAGAACGGCGACCGAAGATACGGCGGCCCACAAGATCGAGGCCCCCCAGGCGTCGACAGAGGCCAAAGAGGAGGCTACGACCGCCGCTACGAACACCGACCTCCACCTCCACCACCAGGTGGTGATCGCCGACCAAACTGGGGCAACGGCGCAGACCGAGGCCACAACGGTCTCCCACCACCCCCCGCAGACGGTCGTCACCCCCTCCCACCTGTCCCCCGCTACGGCCCCGATGGCGCAGACCGCAGGAGACAACCGCCAGCTACCGCCGGCGGCGACACATACATACCCAGCTATGGCCCAGAAGGCCCCCGCCGTTCCCGCGAACCAGACGATCGACCTCGCCGCGGCTCCCGCGATTCGGGTAACTCGAGAGAAGGATACACAGATGACCGCTCAGACCGCAATCGCGCGTACAGAGATCGACCTGATCGGAATGACGCGAGAGGCTTCGCGAGGGAACGAAGAGACGGACGGACACGATCGCGCAGTCCAGACCGCAGAGACCAAAGACGCGATAACAGGGACAATAGGGAAAGAGACGCAGATATCTACCGTAGACGATAGGTCTGCTACGGTTGCAATAACCGACAAGCGCACGACGGGATTTACGCCATCGGTACCTGTACTGGGACAAGGTTTCAACAGACATTCGATGAGCGCAGTGGTACATGGCAGTTTGAGAGCATCGCTGTCAAGATGCGTGTAAGTGAGAGGTGGGGTGCTGCGGCTGTACCTGTGGTTTATTAGGATGATGAACGGGTGGCTGCTGAGATAGGCTTGGGCGTTTCTGGGTGATTGGTTGGGGGGTTTGAGCATTTTTATGGCGTATTATGACTTCTTGGCTGGGGATTTGAGGGGGTTTTATTGATTGGTTATGGGTATGGATACCAAGTTCTAGTGTATGATAGGATGGAGGGACAGAGAGACAGACAGACAGAGGGATAGCATAGCGTAGCGTAGGTAGTTTGGGGAAGTAGTGGTAAAGAAACATTGAACATTGTCACAACATCTCGATGGCTCAGTGATCTACTCGCTTCCAATCTGTGATTGCATCGATGGATATTTCGGACTGAATCAACTTGCATGCCCATGATCATCGGCGTAATATATGTATGGTGGATAAGAAAGCCTTATTGTCCAAGCTGCTTTCCGTTTCCTGTCGAGCCTTCAGCGTGTGATGCTTGGCGGCTGCTGCTAAACAAGCGTCAACAGGGCAGCCGGCCCTGGCTCCTGTCCTCGCTCACCAACAGCAACACCACCACCACCCGCAAGAGCTGCCAGCTCGCAGCGAGTCAATGCCGAAGCGAACTTTCGGCGATATGATTATATTCGATGACGGCATTAACGGTATGGACAGATTGGAGTGGATGTCGTGAACCGCGACTGGGCAGGTTTGGCGCGTCCTGCATGATTGTGGCACAGCAAGTTTACCCCGCAGACGAGTGAAGATGGCAGAGCCTCGTCTCATCACTTCTCATATTCAGTATACAATTGCGCTTACTGTACAAGAACTTCGGATTTTACTATGCTGCCGACGGCATGGCCGTTTCCTAATCCATCGATGCCGGCCCCCGCTTCTCGAACCGGCGATCACGATCCAGACGAGAACGTTCGTGCTCATCCCTTGAGAGCAGTCAACCGTAGTCCTTTAAAGAACACCCTTGCTTTCCAGCTCTTCGGGACTAATACTCTTGCGTTATATGCATCATGCCGAGGTGCCACGAGTGCAGCAAGGTCGTAATCCCGAGATATGGACTATTTCAATTTGGAAGCGGTCCTCTTCGCACATGGCCGACTGGAGCCGCACTAATCAGTTCTGCCGACAGTGGATGTGACCTGTGCTGTTTCGTCCGGAAAGATCTCGAGAAGGTTTCCGCTGCAAACGTTCAACGCATCAATGGCCGACCTCCGATTGTGCTCCGCCACATCCAAAGACGAATCATTATCATGGCCAGATTTTCCCTGAGACTGGAGATTCCTGAGTTTTGGTATTCACACTATTTGAACATAGGATATGCGTCAAACGCTCCTCGTGACCCGGTCTCACGTGCACACGAGCTATTGGAAGCCTGTATGCTCGGTGATAGCGACAATCATGACCATTGTCAGCCATACAAAGTGGCTCCAGCAGCGGCAGCGATCTCGCTCCCGCGTCGTCTGCTTGATCTCTCTCATAACAATATCATTCTCACGCTTGACACGCAAGACTGGATTGCTAAAAGCCGCGCGACATTCGATGAGCTTTCCAGATACTGTACCTTGAGCTATCGCTGGGGTAAACAGCCACCCGCCTGTATGTTGAGTACACAGCTCACTGCGGACCGCGTTCTGTTCCTTGTTAGTATGCCACGAACGTTTCAAGATGCGATCGTTGTTGCGCGAGGTTTGGGCGTCCGTTGTATCTGGATCGACGCCTTATGCATAGTTCAGCCCAGCGCACACGGAGATGATACCGATTGGAAAAGAGAAGGACCGCGTATGTGGCTTGTTTACCAGAATGCGATTTGCACTATCTCTGCTACTTGCTCTGAGCAGCCCAACGACGGCTTTCTGCATAAAGTCGGGACAGACTACAATCCACCCTGTAAAATTCCCGTAGATGGTATTGAAGGCGAGCCGCGAGGGCCTTCATGGATGCACACGGGTATCCCGTTAAAATACGCCTCGGTCGTCGCTTCCAATCTGAACAGACGCGGCTGGGTTGCGCAAGAACGCCTACTTTCGCGAAGGATACTACATTTTTCTGAAGAGGGGGTCTTCTGGGAGTGTCAAGGAACTTACGACCATGAGGAAGTCAACTATGGGGATCCTGCCGGGGGCAAGAAGATCGGTCACAACATAGGACCACATCACGCTTCCTCGATGGACTTTGGGAGTTGGCTAACTTTCATCGAACTCTATTCATCGTCGAAATTCACCTTGCAAACGGATCGTTTGATCGCCCTATCATCGATCGCACGGTGTGTACCAATCGAACGGTTTGGACAGGAGTATTATGCTGGCATATGGGGGTCGCACCTCCTCATGTGCCTCTCCTGGAGCTCTAAGACTCCGTGTTCCGCCACAGCAAGGGATTCGTACCTCACTATTGCGCCATCCTGGAGCTGGGCATCGGTAACTGGCGGAGTTCAGTATCCTTCACGTGAACACGGAGCGCATTCGGAAGACCTACTAGAGATGATTGACGTGCAGGTTTCACTAGCTGAAGCCAGCAACCAGTATGGTAACATGACGAAGGGCGCTTTGAAGCTCCGTGTTCGGCTCTGTTCGATTTCTCTGCCTACAGACGGCGATGAGTATGATCTCGGCTTGGACAACCCATGTTTCTCCGACTTGGACGAGGCTGACGGGGGGCTGGCCTGGGATGAATACCAAAACCCTTCCACAGCCATGGCGGTATACACTGTTATTCCGCTGGGCATATGTGTTAACGGTAACGAAGTCTTGTACGACGCTTTAGTTATCACCCTAGTACCATCAACCAGTGGCGGAGACACAGGCGATTCGTGTGCAGTATATCGGCGTATCGGACACATACACTGGCGGCTCTTCCAGGGTTACATACATCCTGGCCATTCGCGATCCAAGTTTCAGGTCTGGACCGATGCTCTGTTCCCTAATGCCGCGGAGCAGACTATTGTAATAATCTGACCTTGACACATATGCACGCATTGCGTGTCTCATAATTAGGGAGCGATTCTTCAGACCAAAGTTCGTGTTACACATCCTCTCAAGACCTCATGTTGTGTGCTAATCTACGGGCGGGGTCTTTGTTATTGCCCAAAGTACTAGCCAATGATAAGCGACGATGTGGCATTTCTCAGATCACGCAGCGAACTGCTCGACTCGAGTATCTTCAACAACAGAGTCGGATAGTCCCACCCCAAGCCAGCAGCAGCCAGTGCCGTCAGGCTAGCTTGGTTCTCTCTACCAGGCCTACCAGGACCTGTCATGTTCTGTCTACAGTTTAGCCATGTTATCAACGGCAGGTCTCAATCAACCTACCGGTTTCATATTGACGTCAAAAAGAGCGAACGGTGACGATCCATCCTCTCGGAACCGACGAGCGTCAACTCGGATAGGAGCAGTACATTGGAGCAACTTCGCTACCTCAACACACTGTCGCTGTACCTCACCATACTGTGGATCGGCTAGGTGTTCGTCTTCGGAAAGACAGCGAGAATTCTGAAGCACAGCGACTGTGCCGTTGTACGGTGCCACACCTATTCGTCGTCAGTGAGCATTACATCTGCTTTTACAAGTCCACAAAGCCAACCCACCTTCAGCGTGATTAAACCGTTCCACAACCGGCATCGCCCAATACCCCTCCCGTCCCGTCGCAGGCGAAGGCGGCATCACAGTAACAGTGACTTCCTAACCCGCAAGAAAGTCTTCGACGATCACGTACGCATCCTCTCCCAGTAAATCGCGGCCATGGTCGATCAGTTCCTCTTCGGAGCGACAAACTTTGACCCCATAACTGCCTCGTCCTCTAACCTGCTTGCCGACAACAGGGTAGCGAAGATCCGTATCGAGCACATCCGCAAGATCTTCCTCATCAATCATATCACGCGCCTCCGGCAGCGTAAACCCACCGCGAGAACGAAGGAGGTTGTTAACGAATGCCTTATCATCGCACAGCTCCACCAACTTCGGCGGTTGTCCCACAACCTTCACCGTCTGCGCCATACCCGTCAGACTCTCTGCCGTCTGAAGCGGATGATCCGCGAAGAGTATAGTGTTAGCCCAGAGATGCGTCGCCCCCTTCTTCAGCGCACGCGCAATTTCAGTCTCTGTATCTCCAAAACACCAGTCTTCATCTTTTTGTGGATTTGGTGAGGAGACGGGTGTGACGACGGAGATGGGGCTGTGGTGTTGGTGTTTTAGTGAGTAGGTGATGTCTGCGCTGGAGTCGATGTAGCCTTGGTAAAGATGTTAATGTTGCGGGAAAGGTTTCTGTATAGAGGAAGACCAAGTACCTCCGGGCTTCTTGGGCTTGCGAACGCCATTGATTAATGGGGGAGCGAGTTCTTGGTATAGGACTGCTACGCGTGGTGCGGATGTGGTGTACATGTGTCGACGGGTAGTGGGCACACTCAGACGGCGTCCAATACCTGACTTTGCAAAGCAATTTATCGCACTCATTGTTGTAACCAGGCGAATCGGTAGTCATAGACTGTGGCTTACAGGCCGGTGTTGAGGTACAAGGCCGCGCTCGGAAGGGCCCGACGTGCGTTCGGAAACATTTCCGAGCATGCCGTGCTCCGAAAGACATAACGACTTCTGCACAGGGTCGGATCGCACCAACGATCGTGTCTTCATCGTGGAACTCGAGAGCGCTCTCAATCGCAGTACACACGTGGCCGAGAGGCCTCACCCAGGCTAGAGATTGCAGTGCATGTCTGCAAAGATGCATTGCGCGGCCATTTGCATACCCGCTGTTACAGAAACGTTCCTGTCGGTACCTTCCCGCGGGTTACTTCCGAATTCAACCCGCGTGGCTCGTTACATCGCACGACGAGGCTGTGAAAAAGTCGCGCATTACTGGCTACTTCTCGGCATCATACCTGCTCATCCGCGCTAAAGATTGCAGTGCAGAAAGAAGCGACAAGGATAGGGTGCGACTTCTAATTATACTGTGGTCTGGACACTGAGACTGTGCTGTGGTATAATCGCTATGTCGCCAATACAAACATTGAATTTAGAAAGAGCCGGATAACTCAAAATCTTGTACTTCTTGTAATACAGCCAAAGCCATATCGGGCTTAGCCCGCGATGAGATGGCCTCTCCCGCGCTAGAGATTGCAGTGCAGCCGTCCAAATCGAGTGCTGGGTTTCTGACCGGGCGCTGACCTATGTTTTCCGAAGCATGCGTATGGCTGGTTGTAACAACCAATTACGGTGCTTTGCATAAGCCTTTTGGCAGCCATCAGGTCCTTGAAGAGCTGCATGGTTGGCTACTTTCCTCACATAGCTTTTCTTCCACGCTAAAGATTGCAGTGCAGAGCGATCTTCCGTGCATGACATGTTGAAATGATACCAGGATGCGTGACGAGGCTGTGTGAAAGTCCTGCATGATTGGCTACCTCTCTTTCACGCTCGCTCCTCCGCGCTAGAAATTGCAGTGCAAAGGTGTGGTGGTGCTCGCGCCTATCAGAAGGGTAATGTTGGCTGCTCGTGGCAATACTGGGGTGATTGAATTGTTAGAGACGATTTCAGATACACATCCTCTAACCCCGTCATCCTACAGCCCCTCCCACTCCGGCCGACACCGACACCCCCTCCTCCTAACATGCAACACCTCCCTCTCCGCCGCCCTCACCATCCACTCCACCCACTCAATCTCATGTTCCACCACACCTCTCCACTCTCCCGTCTCAATCCTCTCGTCCTTACTCTTCACCAACCAATCTCGTAACCTCCTCACACACGCTTCCAGACTCTCAGCTACACCATCTTCCGTCGCACCCGGCTTCTGCTGCTCAAGATACATCATGCGCTCCATGCGTGTTAGCAGTGCGAGCTGGATTGATGAGGACTCTGTGTATTTCGAGAGGAGTAAAGTAGCGGAGGCGCGGAGGGCGAGCGCGTCTTCGCGGGTTGCGGTTGTGCAGGGGAGGTGTCGTTGAGGACGGTCGAGGTGGAAGGAACCTGGGGGGCGGAGAACGACGAGGTCGTCGAAGGAGGTGGTTGGGGTTGGTATTGTTGTTGTGGAGTCTCGTGATGTTGGCCTGGTTGAGGAATGTGATTGTTGGGATAGGTGAGATTGTTGCATGTGTTGTGGTTGTTGTGATCCTATTGTACCGTCCCAATTTAGATACGGATTACTATCCAGTGACCTCGTGGTGTGTAGTTCAGACGCTTGGTCGTCGTCAGCGTCCCCGCACTCGGTGTCGGGGTAGTCGTCTGAATCGTACATGAACGTCTCCGAGTAGCTGAATCCATAGCCCTCTCTTTTCTTACCCGGTTTGATCAAGACCGGAGGCTGGTGGTAGATGGACGTTTGTGGTTGGATTGGTTGGACCGGAGATGCCTTGGTGGTAGACTGCGAACTCAAGGAGGAGAAGCTAGCACCGGGGGTCATCGTCAGCCCCGAGAAACTTTGGTTGAAGTTGTTCTCGGAATGGACTTGTCGCTCGACATCATCGATGAAGGATTCTGAGAACGAGAAGCGGAGTTGGATGTTTGATGATGGTGGTGGCTGGCTCTCTTGACTGTTCCTTTGGTCACGTGCTGGTATTGAGTCCCGTTGCGATGGCATGGTCGGCGCTGGCCTGTGGGATAAGGGCGAGTTGTTTTGCTGCTGCACATAGATTAGACAAGGCGGCTTGCGCCATGTATATATAGTACTTACAGGCCCTCGCCACCTAGGCGGCCGCTTGCTCTTTCCCTCGTTTGCCCGACGCTCTTGTAACTTGGTTGTTTCTGTAATCACCGGAAGAGCAAGTGCATCGATGCTTCTGCTTCTGCGCAGACTGACTTGCCGCTGCTTTGTTGGGCCTTCTCTTCTCTGTTTGATGTTAATCTCTGACCATTCGTCGCGCAAGTTGACTTACCTTTACAGGCATGATCGGAGTATGCATGCGCGTCGCGCGTATTCGGTTATTCGAGATACCAAGGTGGTCGCACGTGTTTCGTATAGGAAGCGGGGATGGGGATATCGTCAACTTTAGGGAACGCGACTAAGATAAATGTGTTGATTGTTGATGCGTCGTGTATATATCCCGGGGTACGTCAATCGGAAGGCGCGTCCGAGTCGCGTGGGTGTTGACTAGCGTGGTTAGCGCAAAACACGACTCTCGTCCTATCACCACGGTGATCTTGAGTATCCTGAGACATATTGCCCCACTTTCTTGTAGTGTATCATCACGGCTGCGATCTTTGGGTGGTGCGGATGTAGTCTTGTCGCATTACTTTTGCGCGTTCCAATGGTATCATTTCTAGCAATTCGCTCTTGTCCTCCTTCCACAACTAGTGTCGCGAACGTGCTACTTCTTTCCGGTCTCCAATAGTTCAACACCTGTCCTCACAACGCCGATCGCTGCGCCTGTTTGTATGGCTTCGTTACCACCTCCACTCAGCCTGTACTCGATGTCTGCCAGACCTGCCATCCAAGTCACCATGACCTGAGGCGGCACGTCGTTGCTGACTAGCTCCTCGCTGATCGCCGTCAGGATATCTGCCAGGGCGAGTCCCTTCATGATCTTCAGGTTATTGACCGTGCGCAAGCACTCTGTCATGTCGTTCTTCGACAGTAATGTCTCGATGATGTACTTGATATCCGACGGGTGCGGTGCTGCTATGCAGTCGTAAATGGTAGTCTGAGTGATCTCGTCGCGTACAATCGTGGATGGGTCGGGCGCGGGCTTGCCGGGCGTCTGAAGCGGCGTGCTTGATGCGTGACAAGCCTGTAGTACGTTAAGTGCCCGTCTCATATCTCCTTTGCTGAGCGTGACGAGCGAGTCGGTCGCGTCTTGCGTGATGTTGACCTCCTCCTCCTCAATGACCTTGTCGACCAAATTCCTGATGTCTTGATCCTTCAGTGGGGAGAATCGGAACCTCGTGCATCGTGACAATAACGCTGGCGAGAGCTTGTGTGTGTAATTGGCGATGATGCAGAAGCGTGTGTTCGCGGTATACTTCTCCATGATTCGTCGCAGGGCCATCTGCGCGGTCGCAGTCATGGCATCGGCTTCGTCGAGGATAATGAGCTTGAACGTTGCCAACGATGAGTCTCCTGCCTTGGGTGCCGCAGAGAATATCTGCTTCGTGCTACTGAACGTCTTGATCTGTTCCCGCACAACATCGATACCTCTGTCGTCTGAGGCGTTCAATTCCAAGACCATCTGTCGCATGTTCTTGTTTCCGTATATGCGGCGTGCGAGTGCGAGGACGGTCGATGTCTTTCCGGTACCTGGTGGACCGTAGAGGAGGAGATGGGGTAGTCGCTGTGAATGTCAGCGGTCATCTTCCTGGGTAGGCTCTTGGTCATACATTTGAGTCTACAAACTTGTTGATGGTCGCTATTATGTCCTTGTGGCCTTCGACGTCATCGAGGGAATTTGGTCGGTACTTCTCTACCCTATCTGATCTTTAGCAGGCGTGCAGAAGACGGCATAGTTTCAGCCTCACCATGGCAGGGAATCCTCCGCTTCAACGGGTAGATTTGCAGCGCTCCTCTTGCCCTTCTTCTGGTCTCCGCCGAAAGTGATCGAGTTGTCTACCGCGGGCGCATCCACGTCCATCTCATCTTCGTAGTCGGACATGACGATAGCTGAAATGACGATTCAGAGAATCTCTGTATGGATTGAGGTCGAATCGAGGTAGCTAGAACGTTGATTGGCGGTATGGAGGCTGTTAGTAAGAAAATCGAGGGAGACGCGCCGCGCGCAGGGACGCGTTGATGGGGCGGGCTTAGTCACCCCCCGCTGCTCAGCCCTACCAGCACACCTCACCGAGCGGAGCTGCGCCGTCACCTCCGCCGAGCTCTCAGAACACCGCCATACACCAACAAGCTAGGCGACAACACCCAAGATGCCGGTGAGTTAGAGAATTCCCTCATTACAACGATGCCTCAGGGTAGTATCGAATATGTTGAGCGACAGCTAACACATCCAGGCCTACCACTCCGTCTTCCTCGATGAGCCCAACCAGCAATTGATTGGTACAGCTATACTCTCCAGCTCCGTTATGGGCGGAAGTGACTGACGGGCGCATCAGGCAACTTCGCTCTCCTCCCACTCCGCACACGCACCCGCGGCCCTGCCATCCAGCTGCCAGCTCTACCTGCCGATGTCACAGAGCTCACCATCGATGCCTCACACGAGTCGTACGATCCGCTAGACGAGATCCTTGCCCTCTTCCGCGCCAACACATTCTTCCGCAACTTCGAGATCAAGGGTCCCGCCGACCGTGTCCTCATCTATGGCATCCTATACGTTAGCGAGGTACTGGGAAAGATCAAGCCGGGCATGAGTCGGAGAGAAGCCGAGAAGGTAGGCTGTCGGGAAGACGGGTGAAGAAGGTGGACGCTGGAAGCTGACTATGTGGCAGGCTGTCATGAACATTGCGCTGGACACGAACTTTGCAATTCCGGGCGACGCAGGATTCCCGCTCAACCAGGCCTTCGAGGCTCCAGCTGACAGGAATGGAGCTGAAGTGCTGCGACAGTACATCATGCAGATGCGACAAGAGCTGGCGACACGGTTACTGAACAGGGTATACGCGGACGAGACAAACACACCCAGCAAGTGGTGGCTCAGCTACACCAAGAGGAAGTTCATGGGCAAGGCTTTGTAGATGAGCGTGGACTTGGTCACTACGTGCTTGAGGTTGTGTGACAGATGTCGCACTCAATGAACTAACAAGACATTCTCTGGTTTGCGACAATGGTGTAGTACTACCTTCTCATCATGTCCATGTGTCTCTCCTGTCAAAACGTTCCGATCGATTTTAACATCCCGTGATTTTGTACAATTTCCAGGGTCTAGTCACGCGCTGACGTCATGAGCTCTTGCCCTGCACTACCTTCGTTTGGGCAGCAGGCGCAGACGCTGGCGTTCTATTTGCTTGATCGCCGAAGCCTGCACTCCCGCTGCAACATCAACGCGCAACACCCATCTTCTAATTTCTAATCCCTTATTGTGCGCGCACTCGATTCGGCGGGGTCATCTTCAGCTGTCCTTATCATCGCTCGCTACACATGCCCCGGCTGCCCTTTGGACCTAGCCACATGTCAGCTCCACCGACAGGCCAAACAACAGAGATGCAGGGTATGCCAAGAGTTCCGGAAGGCTTACGCCTGATGTCCAGCGCTAACACTTGTCGAAGAAGAAGATGAATGGACCGATGTGTCCGACGACATTGCTGGACTTGGTTTAGACGGTCATGGCAAGCCTGACGATGAGAGCAACAAACCGCTTTCTGAGGAAGAGCTTGCGCTATTACCCAACAGTAGGTCTTTCAACTTCACGAACACAATTCCCGTGACAGCAAGCCCCGACGCACGCCATTCAAGCTGGTTAGCTGACCGCGCAGTGCCCATTCTCTTCAGCAACCATCTACCACCATGCGGTCTACTACCGCAACTTGCATACCAGAACACCGTTCATCGCCTGCGCAAACTCTGGCTCGAGCGCGCCCACCAAGAATCCGCGGACATCCCCCTCCCCAGTCTCTGCCGCCTAGTCCTGGACGACCTCAAAGCCGAAGAAGAAGAGCTCCCAGCCGGCAGTCAGGCCGGAACCAAGAACCGCACTCCCTGGCGACGCGAAACCGTCTTCCAGTATGAACTCCGCTGGGCCAAGTACTTTGTCCGGGAAGCCGAGACCGCGGAGAAGAGAGTCACGATGACAGAGAAGCAGCTCGATAAGCAGGACTTTATGGATAAGATGTACCCGATACCTAAGGAGTTGAAGATTTATGTCAACAACAAGAAGAATCAGAAGATGGTGTCGGATCTGTGGAAGGAGTGGCATCACAAGAAGAGAGGGACTGTGGAGCAGGAGAGTGCGGGGCTGGGTGTTGGGGGTGCGAAGGATGAGGATGCTGAAGCTGCTGGGGATGATGGAGAGGATGGAGACGGGCAGGATGGGCAGAGACAGTTTGTTGACCCGACGGCTTAGGAGCTGAGTCGGCAGGAACTTCATGAATGGCTGCTGGGTTTGGGATTGTGATGTGTCTTGTAACAGTATCTTGCTTTTGAGAGTATTCGGTACATTCAAGTCTTAATTCTGCGCATGCAATTGCTATAAGTGTGCCAATGCTATGTTCCCCATGTCGTCCTCGTTTCTCGATTGCATTATTGAACAGACTGCAATTTCCTAATATCTCGTCACAACGTCTCGTGACCCATGTTTTCGCCTTTTGCCTAGACCACTTCGCCTGCGTCAAAGGGACTGGTGAGGGTGAGAGCAGGACGCTTATCTCCTCTTTGGGTGGTGAACTCACCTTCACCTAGGCAACACCACCCTGCTCTCGTCCTCCCCGCTCCCTGGCCTAGGTATAAAGTTAGGCTCTCCCCATAACCTCTTAACCTTTCCTCTTACTCCCCAACAACTACCAGCAATCGCCCAACCGCGTCTTTGATCAGCCTTTCTCTTGCCTTGCCTCGCGCATCTCAGTTCACTTTACCAAAGCAACAAGCAACGGTAAGTCGAGCGCCTTCGCTTCATCACATACATGCTGACAATCTTGCAGATCCGCTACCTCATCTTCACCATGGTCATCAAGTGGACTGCCGAGCTTGACTCGATTGTAAGTGCATCTCCGCCGCCACCATCGTCGCATCTTTGTCGTCGCACTCGCTGACCTGAATCACAGCTCCTCCACGGCGTCTTCGAAGAGTGCAACATCTCCTTCAACAAGACGCTTTGCAACAAGATCGCTGAGCGCGTCACGGCCGCTGGTTTGGGTATGTGCCTCCGTCACTCGAACTGCCTTGCATCATCCCCGATCAGCATGCCGTCTCACTAGTCCACATCCCTTCATCGCATCCCCCATCTACCGCACACCCACTAACACCCCGTCTAGAATGCACCGCCAAAGCCGTAGAAAACCGCCTCTACTCCTGGAAAAAAAAGAACGTCTCCGGCAACACCAACCTCAACTCCGCCACCAACACGCCCTCCAAGTCCACCGCTTCAACCCCCAAGACACCTCGTTCCAAGGCCAAGCCCGTTCCGCGTAAGAAGAAGAACGTCTCCGAGGAGGTCGACAGCGATGGTCCCCAGGGTCTTATGGACGACGACGAGGTCCTTTCCCCGACTGCGGCGCGTGGCAAGCGTGGTCGTAACGGCGGTCAGAAGGTCAAGTATGATGAGTCGAGTGAGAAGGAGGAGGAGGATCTGGAGGCTGAGGATGTGTATGTTCCGATGGCTAAGCGGGTTAAGGAGGAGCCGGTTGATGAGGAGGGTGTCGTTGTTGAGGAGCTCGTTGAGGAAGAGGTTTAGGCGCTTTTCTGACCGTCGAGGTTGGTGACGCAGGTTTCGCCTCGCTGAGTACCTTGTCCGGTGGAGAGTTTGAGGTAGCGGTATCATGGTTTGCATTTCGGCGTTCGGTGGTTGGACTGCTTTGGATGTACGACTGGTGAGCACCTTCGGGGTTTGACATCGGGAGTTTGAGCTGGCTTTATCTGCATGGGAGAAGTCGTGAGGCAGAAGAAGCCTACATCGGGTGCATCAACGGCAAGTATGGTCAATGAGCATCCATGAATAATCAGCACTTTACTACCTTGACTATGGCCTTCTTGAATGCGTCTCATATATGCGCATGAGTCTCTTAAAACTGATGTGATTATTCTCATGATGTAAAAGGCTATGAAAAGAACCTGCGGTGGGCTGAAGATAGCTTCCGGGGGTGTAAATGCCCACATCTGAGATGGGCGGCCCCCTGTGTACGTTGCGCTATTGATGGGGGCCAAAGCGGTGCACTGCAATTTCTAGCGCGGACGAGCCTGCGGATGAGGCAAGCTGACAGCCAATCGTAGGAGTGAGGATCTTGCGTAGGAGTGAAGATCTTGGCGGTACTGTACTGCAATCTTTAGCGTAGAAGAGGTCGTAGCATGGCCTGGTCCAGAAACGTAGCTTTGAAGGTGCTCTGCTGTAGAGCTGTTATACAATTGGTGCGCATTTCATTTCTTAGCGCCCGCGAGTCCACGTGTGAGGCAGATTTCTATTCTGAGGAGGGCTGACCACGGTTTGCACTGCAATTTCTAGCGCGGACGACGTCGTAGCATGCTGTACCTGCCGTTCAGGTATTGGAAGTCGCAACCTGCATAGCAACTTGAACCATGAAGAGCACGTTGAAGTTACCACTATGCGATGGGCCATCCAGACAAATTAACCAGGGCCTTTTAAACTCCAGGATTCCGCGTGCGCACAGAAAGGGTTTCGATGAATGTGTTGCCAGGCTGACCTCAAGAACGTCTCGCGAGAACTCCAAGGTTGAGCTACTGCAATGCTTAGCGCGAATGTCGTGAGTACTCAAGAACTTGTAAATCCGCGATTTGAGTTCATGCGGCTCAAGTAGATGTTTGTCCACGGGGAGTCCCTCGATGGCTTGCCGGCTGACGGGGACTGCACTGCAACCTCTAGCGCAGACGAGCCTATGGTGCGAGACGCGATGATGGCCAATCCCTGAGACTGCCATTGCACTGCAATCTCTAGCGTTGACGAGGTCGTAACATGGCTAGGCCTAGCAAGCTCGTGATAGGTCCAACACAGGATCTTTGATCTGACAGGCCGCACTGCAACTCCCGGCGTACAAGAGCCCGCATGCACTCAGGTGAAGATTAGCCTGAAGCCCGATTAACGCTGCACTGCGATCTTTAGCGCGGAGGCGCACTTGAGGGGACGCTAGCAGAGTACCTGACGCGAGGCCAGTTCTGACTGGTGTGCACTGCAATCTCTAGCCTGGACGAGGGGTCAGCTTACGCCTCCTGTGATTAGACATCGGCCATCGTGGAGCGGTGACTTCGGTCTGTGAGAATACTCCAAGACTCTGTGTGGACTGAAGAAGACAGTTGCGCTTGATGAGTTGCTGAGCCGTATCGTTGGTGAACGTCCTGTGGAAGTTGCGTTAGTGTTGTCTCCGGCGCGTGGGTTGCGTGAACCCCAGGGCTCTAACTATACTTCAGCCGCGCATTTGATCGCATGCGACATCAACAGTCGTTTCAATGCCACAGCCGGAAGGCGCCCAATCGTGGCCTCACGTATGCACCCCTGGGGGACGCGATATAGGTCAGAGTACCCAGATTAGGAAGCAGTTGCATCATTGCACTCCAGCTAACTGCACTGCAATCTTTAGCGCAGAAGAAGAGGCATGCGGAAGTAGTCGCTAACCAGATCCGGAATCGTTCTGACGTGCGAGAGGACCTGACAGGTGTGGACGGCAATTTCTAGCGCACGCGAGTACATATGAGGAGGTGACCAGGCAGCAATAGTCTAACGCTCATTCGGGGGTGGCGGGGCGCCTGCACTGCAATTTCTAGTGCGAAAGAGCACTTAACGAGACGCAAGTACAGGGATTGCTGCATTTCTCGACCAACGTGCCTCGCCACAGCCACTGGCCGTACAACGCCAATCACACTCCTCTTGCCATAGGTCCCTAGGATGAGAACAGCCTGGGGGGCAGCACGATGGAGGACTCTCGCTTCCAGAATGAGGCGCGCTCTTTTGGGCACAAATTGCTTCAGCCTGCTGTCATCTTGGGCACGCTGCACTGCAATCTCTAGCGCATATAAGTGAGTGTGTAAGGAGGTGGCCCGTTAGCCACAGCTAGAACAACTCCAGGCGTGCATTCTGCACTGCAATCTTTAGCGCGAAGAAGCACCTGATAAGAGGCAAGGCGCAGACATCAAACTTGGACTGGACTTCTTACTTGCACTACGTTTCTAGCTTAGACAAGGAGGACGTATGAGGTAGCTAAACGTTATGAGGCATCAAAGGCAGATATAATGTAACATCTAGTGCGAACGAGCACATCTGGATGTATCGGTTGCTGTTGAGCTAGAAACGAAGGTTACTTGCCTGAGGATAAGCCTGCACTGCAATCTCTAGCGCAGACGAGCGTAGGTAGACGAAAGAGATACGCTTGATTGGCTGCCATGTTGCATCACCGGTGAACGTCCTCCAGCGGAACGCTCAGCCACCACCGTCTCGGCACGTAGGATGCGTATCCCTTGGGGCCTGGGCCATACGAATGTGACTGCACTGCAATGACTAGCGCGTACGAGTGTACGTGGTGGTAGAAAGGTTCGCTTGATTGGCTGCTGTGACACTGGTGAATGTCCTGCGGGGGGACGCTCAGCCACTATGGTCTCTGCGCGCAGCCTGCGCATCCCCACCAATGTCAGCTCCGCAAGTGGAAGTCCTTCGCAAAGGCCCTCAAACCGGTCAGGGATTCCTTCAAGGGTGGGCGTTGCACTGCATTTCTTAGCACGGACGAAACCATATACGAAGTATGACGATGACGAATCGGCTGTTCAACGTAGCGCGTCTCTGCAGCCACGACTATCGGTGTTGAAGAAAAGGGCACTTGGTTACGATAAGGCTGCGATTAGTCCAGACCTACGGTATATTCCAGCATGCTGGAACTACAGACCACGTTGGCTTGGGCTCTTGCACTGCAATCTCTAGCGTGAACGAATACCCATCTTGTAGGAGGAGCCCACACCTTCCCACATCAACAAGATGTGCATCATCATCAGCGCGGCTTGACTGCTATGTACTACAGTCCTCAGCGAAAGCGTTGGTAAATGCGAAAGAGCGGCCTCCCGAGCATTGCCTTGATATGGACTGGATCGTACGTTCGGCGCAGGAAAGGGCATCTGGGTCGATAAAAGGAGTGTGTGAGATGAATGGTACTCGTTCGGAAGTCATACAGTGCTGGTTTTGGCGTTGCGCTGCAGTCTCTAGTGTGAGAGGGGAGGACGCGGGTATGGACTGTTTTACCGCGGTGTCGCTGCACTGCGATTCTTAGCGTCGAAGAGCACATGTAAGTCACGTGAGCGGAGAAGCATGAGCTGGACCTTGGGAGCTGCCGGCTGGCCTGACTGATTTCGTCCGATAGCTACTGCAACGGCACTGCAACCTTGAGCGCGCACAGTACGTCTGCACTGCATTCCATAACGCGCCAGAGCACGTGAATACCTACCTTTGCATTGCGATCCTCCGTGCGGAAGAGCAATGATTGTTTTCCGAGACGCGAGTGCGCGATATTCTGGGTGTCTCGACCAATATGCGGCGACATAGCGACAAGGAGTTCACCCTGCGCGTACCGACGGGCTTTCGCACTGCTTTCCCAATACAGATAGATCACGTCTTCGTTGAGAAAATGACCGACGGGATGCTTGGTGGATTGCGAGGCTGAAAACACCTCGCGCGGAACAGATTTGGTGCGGTAGAGAACACATCTCCTTGGAGGCTGATAACGTTCGTCCTACGTACCGGCTTGGCGTTGGGCACAAGAGATTACGCCGATCGTGGGGTATGTAGAACCGAGCCAAAAGCTTGGCGCGACCGGATGGCTAGCAACGACATCCGTTTGGAAGCACTAGACGAAGAACGTACCTGCTACATCCCAGCTTAACACTCGCACTTAAACCTCCAATACGGTATATGCGCGCTCAACGACGCAACGGCGCGTGAATAAGGACGGAAGCCGGAGCAGTCGCGATCCGACCCTAGCGTTTCCCATCGGAGATTTTGGCAGATGTCACTCTTCGAGGCTAGCGCCCGGAAACATTCGAGATCCGACCGTTGTGCCTGGTCGTTCACCACAGGATCATCCTCTCGCGTACGGATGGGGTCCACGCAAGATGTCAAAGCGAAACGTCGGCAGGCATCATACAGTCTGTAGAAGCCATGGTTGAAGAGACAGGGTAAAGAGTCTTGCTACCCAGGGGGTTTTGCCGCAGGGCATATATAATGTCGTCCTCCCGTGCGGAGTGGTATCGCCATCGTTCTACACATATCCGCATCACATCTCACGTCGCGGATTCGAGGACCAGGATTTCTGTCTTCCAAGCCGCCGTCGAAGTCACTCCACATCTGATATCATCTTCAACCTGTCGACAGCGATGTCGTTTCAGAAGGCTGCAGCTGCAGTGCTGCTTCTGGTCGAAATTGTAAGTGTTCTCATCTCGCTGATGCAATCACCCTCTAACGCTTTCTCAGGGTGTCGTCAGTGCAATCGGCGTTGCAATCTATCGTCTCTTCTTCCACCCCCTTCGCAAGATTCCTGGACCGAAGCATTTCGCCGTTTCCGGGATCCCTCTGGCCATCGAGAACAGCATCCAAGGAACTTTCGCCAAAAAGGTCCTGAAGTACCATGAAAAGTACGGTGACATGGTGCGTACTTCGCCCAACTCCATATCCATCAACGGAACTATTGGATGGCCTGAGGTTTTCGGATTAAGTCGCAGTGGCCGACCCGAATTCGGCAGGTGGCATGAATTTTACCAGGGCGGAGACACTTCACGCAAGTCGATCTTTCCTAGCAGCAGAGAGGACCATCGACGTCAACGCCGTGTTATGGCACATGCTTTCTCCGATGCTGCTATCAAGGGTCAGGAGGCGTTGATCATGGAGTACGTCGACAAGCTCTTTGCCCACCTACATAAAGACGCCGCGCAACACACCCCGACGGACGTAGTCAAATGGTTCAACTTCACCACCTTCGACATCATCGGCGATTTGGCCCTGGGTGAATCGTTCCACTGCCTGGACAGCAGCGATTACCATCCATGGGTTTCCATGATATTCGCTGGCATCAGAGCTGGCGCGCAAATTGTTGCGTTGATGAAGATGCCTGGCCTCAGCTGGATCCTACGGCTGATGATCTCTAAAGAGGACATGCAAACGCGTCATAACAACAGGATCATGAGTGACGAGAAGGTAGAGCGAAGGCTGGCACTTGGCGCAGCACCCGGCGGCCGGAAGGACATTATGACATACATCCTTCGCAACAACGACGAGAAGGGCATGAGCCATGCAGAGATCCTGGGCAACTCCGAGGCTTTGATCGTGGCTGGCAGCGAGACGACAGCCACGACACTCTCAGGCTTTACCTACTTCATGTCAACGAACCCGCAGGCTTTCGAACGGCTCCAGCAAGAAGTTCGGACGGCCTTCGCCAACGAGAAAGATATAACGATGTTGTCTACTGCGCAACTCAAGTACCTGCATGCCTGCATTGAGGAGACTTTACGAATGTACCCGCCCGTTGCGGATACGCCTCCACGTGTGTCTCCTGGCGAGTACGTTAACGGCTATTGGATTCCCAAAGGTGTAAGTCATTCCAGATCACTTTGCCTGTCATCCATCAGCCAGAAGAAGTACTTCGAATAGACATGGACAGTCACAGCTAACAACACCTCTCAGACTCTTATCACGATCTTCCAGTGGGCCGTCCACCACAACCCCAACAACTTCGTCCAGCCCGACTCCTTCATTCCCGAACGCTGGCTCGGCCCAGACCATCCTTACCACGACCCACAGTTCAACGCAGACAAGAAGTCTGCCTTCCAACCCTTCTCTTTCGGCCCTCGGAATTGCATCGGCAAGAATTTGGCTTATAACGAGCTGCGCATCATTGCTGCTCGCTTCATCTGGAACTTCGACCTTGAATTGCAAGTCGGAAGTCACGGTTGGCCGGATAACCAGCGGGCGTTCTTCGTCTGGGAGAAGGACCCGTTGTGGGTTCAGCTGAAGCAGGTGGAGAGGAACTAGGGGCGTGTGTTCGCAATTGCTGGAGATGCGGCGCGTGCTGTGAGGTGTTGATAGATTGTTTTTCGTTAGTAGAGCGGTATTTTGTTGGATGATGTTGTCGCATTTGGGCTGAGCTACCTTGCTTCGAAGGCTCAAAGCTCGTCTCCAACTCATGAGCTTCTGTAGCAGAAAATGAATGTATCTGTGTTAGAACGGAACCTTGAAGTCTTCATATGTACATGCATTCTTTGAAGTAGAAATCTCGCAGAGCACGAGGACGCTAGAGCTACCGGACATGGCGACTTGGGGAATGACTAACGGGAGCAGAGATGCGCGTGCCCACGCTCCTCATTTGTGGGAACAGCTTCGATGCGGAGGCCCCTACATGTATGTAGCCGGAACTAGAGCGTGCACTGTCTTCCGTTAGACTGTGATTCATAGAAAGGTAGGCATGTTGGTCGGGCAATCCGATCAAGACAGCTACCTTCTCGCCTCTTTTTTGCACTGCAATCTCTAGCGCGGACGAGAGTATGGTCAAGCGAGGGCACCAATCAGTTTGGAGGGGTATGCAGGCACTGTGGACAGCATCGTGCAGCCTTGCCTTATCCAGTTGCACTGCAAGCTCTAGCGTGTGAGATGGGCTTTACACGCATGTCAGGTATTCGCTCCTCCGCGCTAGAAATTGCAGTGCAGATGTACATGGCAGCGCGTCGGATGCATGCAGGACGGGCCAGCTCTATCTGCTGAAGCTCTACTGTCGGCACGAGGTCAGAATTAGCGAGCTGCAGCCTTTGGCGTAGGTGCAGTGCACTGCAATTCTTAGCGTAGAAGAGCAGCAGATAGCTCCAGCGCTCTGCCTCCCGCGCTGCGATATTTAGCGCAGAAGAGAGGCAATATGCCTATGCGAGCGAGTTTGCCATGACGCGAATAGCCCGTCTGTCGAGCCTGTCGCACCGAGAGAATACCACGAACGTAGCTCAGAATTGAAGTTTTCGTATACGACACTTTTGACTAGCTGATGGAATTGAAGCGCGCGAGCAAGTAGACTGTAGTGATGAGCATACACTGTAAACAGTAGCGTTGAGGATGGCCGAATGTGGAGTGTTATCAGCTGAGGCGGGGCGCGGCACGGCTCGTGGTCGATAGTGGGCGAAGCCTGGAACACCAACTATTTGTGCGACAGACCATGGATGGCGCCCGTCGTAATGTAAATGTGCACTGCGATTTCTAGCGCGGAAGAGGAGGTAGAGCGCATGTGCGGCATGGAACAGCAGGGGGAGGGTGCTGCGCGCTGCGCCCCAAATGCACTTGTGGACCTTGCACTGCAATCTCTAGCGCGGAAGAGCGGTGATCGGGTTGAGTTGATAGTGTGATGGTGTGCTCACAACGCTGAGATTGGCATCGCGATCTCTAGTGTGAAGAACAGAGATATCTACTCTCAAATGAGCGTCACTGTTAGCACGCCTTCTGCTGCTCATTCCTAGAGAAGATGCCCATTCATGGATGTGCGAATAGCCTTGCAAGCCCATCACAACCGCGGAATTCAGCGAACGTAGCTGTGAACTAGATTCTCTCGAGAAGTTCAACTCTTTTGACCGCGCATCGGAATTGACCCATGCAAGCAAGTAGAATATAGTAGGATGAGGGCTGTGACCGTTCGCATTGAAGCGATGGGCGGGCGAGGGCTGTGACAGCTTAGTCAGCAGCCTTGGGCGGCCAGCTGTGGGAGAAAGCATGGTGGGAAGGCGCCTGAGCGAAGTTCCGCCCCCAAATTTGCACTGCAATCCCTAGCGCGTGGGACTATGTACTCGCGCAGCTTAACAGGCCAATAGCGATGCGACAACATGCAGCGCATTTCTTTGCGCAGCGGGCCATACAGGGCAGCAGAACCGTTAAGATTCCTGGAAGGGACGTTCGCAACGCATCCGCAGCCGCTTTTTGGACTTGGGGGATGTCGAACATACATGATATATTCTCTGCCCTGAGGCCGCTGCACTGCAATCTTTAGCGTGGACGAGTGGTTGATGCCTGCATCCCGACCGGTGCTGTTTCCCCACCACTAGGTCATCCAATGCTTCCACATGAATGACACACAAGAAGGACCGGTGGTGCAGCAGGCACCGGTGAAGGCCATGTCAGCTCCTGTGACTCGTCATACCCATATGAGCGGATTGCTCACCGGTTTATTGTGCCACACACAGTGGCTTACAGGCGCACAAGGGTATACGAGGCATTGTGGCAGGCTGACATGGTCAGAATATGAAGCGCGCACCCGCGGGAAGAAAGCAAGCTTCTGTCAATCGCCGGTCACTTCAACGCCTGGTTCGTTGGCACACGGGGATCACTCGCGAAGAATGTCATCGCGCTTTCGACCGTTGCAGAATCACCCGCCGAGCACGCAGCCAAATGATCTGATTGATTCGTCAATAGTACATCCACTGCATCTACGGTATGGTGCCTGAAAGTCGTGCCAAGGGTTACAAGAGGGGCGGAAGCGACCATGGTGACACGCCCGCCACACATCACTCAGCCACTTTGAATGAGATTGGATCTTTCCAGCTTGGTGTCCTGCAATGCGCGCATGTCCTACTGAGGTCAGCAACGTACGATAAATTCGGTCCTTCGCTCTCTTTACCTGCTCCACCGTCTGTTCCACAACGTAACGCGTTACCAACACTGCTTGCTTTTGTCCAAGACGCAGGGCTCGTGCGACAGCTTGGTTTTCGACTGAGGGATTCCATTGGGGCTCGACGATGAACACGCGGTTCGCGGTCGCGAGATTGAGCCTAGCATATGTCGTCAACGACAGCAGTCAATGATAAGTATGTGGCCGACTTACCCTACTGCGCCGGTGCCGGTGGTCATGATCAGTACTCGCAAATTGGGGTCCTCCGTGAACTCATGCAAGATGCGTTCGCGTTTGGTCGTCGAACACTCGCCATCGATGCGCTCATGGGTCCACGTGTTACCAGACATGTGGTGAAGGTAGTGCTGTAGTAAGTTCAAGGTGCGCGTCCAACAAGTAAATATAATGCTGCGAGTTTGTCAATCTTGCCCTTCATATGCGTAATCCCATCGTGCATACCTTTTCGTATTCCATATATCGACGGAGACGTCGTTCATCAACATTTCCATCTTCGAAGACCGTCCGTTTGCTCGAAAGTAGGTATCTTCTTGTGATGCATCCATGAAACGAGGTGGTTGAGTGGGCGCGTTCCACAGGGGCTGACAAAGGGGGCATTTGCTGGGTATTTCATCGTGACCACTAGGCGTGCTCTGGATTAGGCATTGAGAGCACAACACATGCCGGCAATTTTCGGTATAGCGATGGAACATGGAGCCGCTATTGAAGGCAGGCATCGGTTGCCGGCATACGGAGCACGTGATCTCGCCGTCTCGTCCAAGTGAGATCTCCAAAGCCTCCCTTTCATCCAGTAAATGCAGTTTGCGGCGATTCCAGGAGAAAGGCTGCTGCCAAGTACCATGATTGCAGAGGATGCGTAGCTGAAGCTGTACCTGGAACATGCCCAGTGTACTCTTTTGATCGAACGTGCCATTCTGGTTGCGGACAGCTCGGAACATGATGTCTTTGGTCTGCTCGTATTGCAATCGCTCTTCTGATGAGAACGGCACCTCTCTCACTCGGTGCTGCTCAGCCGGCAAGTGCAGGACATCTTTGGTTCTGCGTAAGCACATGGAGTCCAGAAGACGAGTGAAGCGCTCAATCGCAATGGTACGTCTCTTACCGCCCTCATCAAAAGGTATCGCAATAGTCTTTCGAAAGTTCGATAAGCTGTGAAACGGATTGACTCTCAAGAAGGCGAACAAGGAGCCGATGTCCTCCAGGCGGTTTTGTATAGGCGTGCCAGTCAGACACCACCTCGATCGGGCCGCAATGTCAGCTACAGTCCGGTACAAGATCGTGGACTGCCGTCGTATGATGTGGGCTGCGAAATCATCGTCAATGGTGGGCGGTAAACGAGTGGTGGCTTGCTCACCTTCATCAATGACAAGACGATACCATTCAATATGCCTCAACTCGTGCTTGGTCCTGGCAAAATCTGACGCGAGAGTATGATAGGTAGTGATGACAAGGTCTGCCTCCATGAGCCTCTCCAGGGAAACGTGTCGATGAGGGCCATGGTACTTGATCGCTTTCAAGGCTTTACGAGTAGGCTCGTCAAAATGCCTTCTAAGGTGAGCAGCTGGAGAGTATGCAACGATCTATGTTACTTACTTATCTAGTTCCTGAAACCATTCATTGATCATGACTGCGCCGTCAGTACAAGAGCAATAGCGTGTATCGCAAGGATGGTATACTCACGGTCTGATGATGCAACGATCAGGGTCGCTCCAGAGCGGCGTCTCTTCTTTGGTATTTCCGAAGTCGCATCGTTCAGATCATCGATGCGGATAGCCCAATTGTGCGCAGTGTTTAGCGTCCGTAGTACAAGGGCTAGTACAGAGAGAGTCTTTCCCATCCCCATCTCGTCTGCCAGGATACCACCGCCGGTTTCCTTAGGCTCAACCATGGCTATCGAATTTTTAGTATGCTTCAAAATCAGAACGTGTAAAGAACGAACTCACAATGTCCTTTCGTCAGAACATGGCGATAGCTGTCAGTGGTGTCAGCGGTGTTATGCAAGGCCGTTTGCAGGATACATACCATTGGACTCTATCTTCTTCGCTCGGCCTCCAGAGTGTGTACTCCTCTGGTATGGGCCCGTCTTCGCGCTGCATCATGAAAGAAAGTGCTGTCTTCTGGTGCCTGGGTATATCAGCGGGTGGTCGCGAAGCATCGACATTCGGAAGTGAGAGCAAAAGGTAGACGGAGACGAATTGAATGGAACTTACAACAAAAGATCGGTGTTGAGGCGCTCGTCACCCTCTAACCCGTGCAGGTTGCGATCTCGCGTCAAAGAGGAATACACATTTTGGAGGGTGCTTCTCAATGTCTGCAGACCGACCTTGTCAGGTAAAGGTTCTTCTGTGATGGTTGGTATCTCAGGTGTCGAGCCTTGGAAGCCAGGGAGGGTGAGAATGTGGGGATTCTCGTATCGACAACCATCGCGTATGTACACAGGGCGTTGCAGGTAGATCTTTTGCTGCGACAACTCCTTGCCGATGTCGCAAGCGGCTGTCGAGGGGCCGTACACATTTATCTGTACCCTCACTACGGCTTCTTTGTCCTTCGTGGCGCGGCCTATGGTCTCCTGGATGACCACCGTTGGCGCGAAGACCTCCAGATCGATCTCATAGCCTTGTTCTGCGATGCTCGTTAATGCTCCGTCTAACTGGGCGTTCACATCTCCTACGACACCCCCTTCGGGGAAAGCTACAACGAATTGGGCTTCGGGTTTGATGATCATCATTCGCGCATGGCCTGTGATCGGGGATGATGCGATGTTGTTGAGCTTACGATGAAGCTCCCCCATGTCGCCTCGGAGGCGAACAGCGGCTCTAAAAATCTTGAAACGTATTAGCTCGCCGCGAAAATGTGACAATGTCTACGCAATTGTTGGTTCCCTACTTACCATGCCATAACAGATATGTTCCTGCTCAGCTAGAGTCTGCTCAGTGGACTCATGCTGCGCTTGCCCGGTCGTCCAGTCTTCAATATCGCGACTCGTCTCTTGAAAGGAGCCGTTGATGTCGATTCCATCCAGTAGTGGGTCGCATTGTGCGTCCTGTGACCCAAGCAGTTCGTCCACGTATTGATCCCAGGATTGAGTTGGTAGAGCCGCCGTAAAACTACGATCATCAGCCTCGCGCCCGATCCTAGCGTCTATCGCATACTGATCCAAGGAATCTTGCTGGAACCAGTTGAGATGCGGACTGTGTCTCTCGTGGTGAAAGTTGACGACATCGTCGTCGTTGAGTAGGTGCTTGAGCGCCATGACGCGTGACGTAAGCGCGTTCTGACCTAGCGGCTTGGCAACAATGCCACCCGAGCAGATGATCGGTTCGCGGAGAAGGGTCTACTTCAACCAACTTCTAGACTACACTCGAAATATCTGAATCGACATCCGTGAGACGTGCGAAAGAGGCGCTGCTTGGTGTGCTGCGGATATGTGGTCTTTTCAGCTCGTCGCACCCGGGAGGCTACGTTGCAGCCTCTCGCCGCGTCCTGCATGCCGATAAGCCACACGCACATCTTCAGCCTTGCTCCGCCCCCTCCACAGCAACGCAGCTGGTCAGTCATGGCCTGCGCACATATCTTCGACTTTAGTGCTGCCTGGCATGGCGGCACAACCATCCCATCTTTGACTGGCAAACCCAAACATCCACACCACATTTGATGAGTAAGTTCAATGGCGGGCCCAATACCTTCGCAATCGGCCAGTCGCACTTCGACGGGCGCTCTATCCCAGCAACCGACCCTTGTCGGAGGGATCACCCCACCACGGCATGCGACAGGAACCGCCTTGACCCGTGCTATAACGCAGTTTCGCAACAAACTCACAGGCACGGAACTCACGGAGTTTAGCACGACGACATACGATCAGCTCTGCAAAGCATTAATCCAGGTTCAACATGAGCAAGAGCACCGAATGGAAGCGATGAACCTCGCTCGTGTCAAATCATGTCTGGAGGCCATGCACCAATTTGGCCAAGTCATAGAGATCTTTCTCAACGTTTCAGACGCGGTCGCCTTCGTCTGGGGTCCTATGAAGTTCATCTTGTTGGTAGGTACACTGACAGTCAATGAGGAGCGATGCCTCAGCTAACGCATGGCATAGACGGCCAGCACATTTGCCGACTCATTCGAACAACTTCTGGACGCATATGAGAGAATTGGCGAACAGCTACCGTTGCTGGTCGAATACGAATCATTGTTTCACAAATCGCCCCATACGATTGACGCCTTGGAGATGATGTATTTGGACATCTTGGATTTCCATCAACAAGCGCTCAAGTTCTTTTCGGGCAGATGTAGGCTAGCCCTGCCGGATTTCCGCGCATGCTTTAGCTAATTTTGATACAGTATGGACTCGGTTCTTCAAATCCATGTCAGTATCCTGCGTGCGGAATCGAGGAGAAAATGGCGCTGATGCTTAATCTTGGGATACAGGTGGAAGAACTTCCATACGAAGTTTGAGGGAGTTTTGAGTAGTCTTCGCCGGCACAAAGACATAGTTGAGTGCCGTGCTAGTCTCGCCCAATACCGACTCTACCAGGACGACGTAGCCGACTTCCGGGCGAAGCTGGAAGAGAATGTCAAACGAGAAGAGACCAAGAAGCTGATGCTCGTCAAAGACTGGCTGGCTGTTGGAGACTTACCTCGATTCGATCATGACAGCTTCTGCAAGATACGGAGCGAATGCGCGACCACTGCCAAGTGGGTAACACAGCACGAAACCATCAAACATTGGATACACTCCGATATCCCGAACAGTCCCGTCGTCTGGATCTACGGAATACCAGGAGCCGGTGTGTATTGTCACTGTGTCTGCGGTGTGACGCTGATTGACAACAGGCAAAACGATACTGGCATCGGCCATCGTCGAAGAGTGCAAGGCCAGGCCTGACTTCATCACCTGCTTCTTTTACTGTCACGATGGCGATCCAACGAGTAGCACCGCGGTCGGTATACTGAAGGGCCTGGCAGATCAACTACTAGACCATTATCCACAGATGCTGCCTCCCTGCTACACACGGCGTAGCTCGAGTGGAGAACCGTCCCTCAGATCTCTCAACCAAGCGAAGAGGCTTCTTGAAGACTTTTGCTTCACCATATCCAAACTCTTCATCATCGTTGATGGGCTGGACGAGTGTGAAGGGGCGGAGAGAGGCCAAGTGTTGGATATATTAACCGAACTCGTAGGTCAGCGTGATGCGGTTGATCCGGGCACTATCCGCCTTTTGATCGCGAGTCAAGACCACGCCGATATAAGGAGAAAGCTTCACGGCTCCGCTATTACCAAGATGGCGCCCAAGATTCTGCAGATCTCGGAAAAAGACAACGAGGGCGACATCAAGGCCTACACCAGGATGTGGGTAGATCGAATTGAGGCAAAGTTTCCATTGTTCACGGAAGACATGAAAGAATACCTTCGTAACCTTATCGTGGCTAATGCAAAAGGTGAGTCGCTTAATGAATCACTACACGCAGTCAGGGTCTAATTCCAAGGCAGGCATGTTCCTTTACGCCAAATTGGTTTTGCTCGACCTTCACGCGTGTATGACGCTAGCGGAGCTTTTGGACTATATCAAGACCGAGAACTTTCCTTCAGGACTCGCACAAGCGTAGGTACACACCGAAGGGAACCCGCGACATCTTCTGGGCCCGATTTTCGTACATTCGTCACGGACATCGAGCGTTCATTAACCGCGTCGACAGATATGAGCGGATAGTCACACGCGTCAAAACAAGATCTGGCAGAGGATGGCCAAAAACCAAGCAATTACTCGGATGGTGTGTTGTCTTCTGATCCCATGATCTGCCTATTGTATTCTAACCACGACTTTGTCTTCTAGGTTAGTGTGTGCCAAGCGCCGGCTTACTTGGAAGGAGATACAGGTTGCACTCTCGATCGATGTAGATTGTCAGATCATCGAATACGAACACCATCATCTCCGCGATCACATCTACGAAACATGCGGCTCACTAGTGCTTGTTAATGGCGACCGAGTGTCTCTCGTTCATAGCACAGCTAAGACGTACGTCAATCAGTCTGTGTTCGTCAAGTCCTTATCCTGACGGGAACAGGTACATCACCAGTATCACGAAAGATATCCACGAGCCATCCATCGAATGCGAGTTGGCGACGTTGTGTCTACAGTACCTCACCTTTCCCTGTTTCGACGTCGACGACCCGGATGATCAAGCGCAACGTCGACAATACGTATTGGACGGATCGATTGCTTTCCAGGACTATGCCATCGCGAAATGGTTCCACCATGTCAACGCTTGGGTAGGCCAAGGGGAGAGGTTCCTCGACGAGGCAAACGACGTGGCAGGTCAATTACAAAGCATCTTCAAAGCCATGGATGATTTCATGACGCGTTATGGCGACGTGGACTGGTCCAACGGCCTGGTGGACGACTGTAAGGCCAAGTGCAGGGTATTCGAGCATCTCGACCTCCACGATCATCTAGTGGGGCTCACTAGCCACATCTACACGTTCCAGCAGAAAGGCTTCGATGCACAACACAAGATCAGCATTGAAGACCTCTCGAAGGCCTTGGATCGGAATCGGAAGGCTCTTGAGATCTTCCCCAAGAGCAAGCCCGGCCCAACTGCACACGAGAAGGAGGCATACAAAAGATTCTACGACGAGGAAAGGCGGTTCAAATGCACGAGGATTACTTGCAGGTACTTCTCAGAGGGCTTCAAGGATGAAAAGGCTCGCAACCGACACGTCAACATCCACGAAAGGCCATTCCAGTGCGAAGTACCAGACTGCCTCGGAGCTGAAGGATTCGCCAACGCGAAAGATTTGGAGAGACACACACGAGCGTTCCATCCCGAGATGAGTGACTTAGCCGAGAAGTTTATTACTGCTACGACGAAGCGCGAGGCATCGACCCACGCCTGCACAATGTGCGGAAAGACGTTTTCGCGCAATTTTCATCGCAAGAACCATGAGCTCAGCCATCGAGGGGAGAGGCCGCACGAGTGCCCCGAGTGCGGCAAGGCTTTCACGAGGCTGAACGATCTGAAGAGACACCAGAAGATACACGATAGGAAGTAACAAACCTGGCTTCATGATGGATGCCGTACCTGTCGCTTCACTGCGCGCTTGCCGCTAGCTTTCAGGCTTGGCCAAGTGACGGCGTGTCTCTCCCATGAAGCTGATACGTCGGGATCCGATCTGTCGTACCTTTTGAGTCTTCTTGTTAACAGACGACATACAGATTCCCAGTATAGTACAGGCTCTGAGCCGGTGAGAGCCGGCAAATGATTACCCGGGGGGCGTATGCGGGTACAGGCACCTCGCTTCTCGTCATGCACCGGTCAACAAGCATCTGTGGCATGATCCGTCCTTTGTACATCCGGGCCTCTCTTTCGCGCTAAAGATTGCAGTGCAAGGCCCGTTGTGGTAGAGTTTCAAGCTGCATGTGGCCGGCATATGTACTTAGTGATCACCGTCGGGAATGACGATTAGTGTCACGCGTCGTCCCAGAAAGAACGACTTGGTGCATGTGCATCTTTTGGATTAGAGGACGCAGTGCAGCGGTGTTGCAGAGCTGTGAAAAGAGTACCATGCTCTGCAGCCATGCAGCACGTAGCCGTGCCTCTGCTCCATATGCATGAATATGTTATGACGCCACATCATGGCAATGCCGTGGGTATACGATTCCGCAAATGTTCATGCCCTTGAAAATCACCAGGGTCTCAATTCTTCCAACCGTAGCTGCTAACGGCAAAAGGCACGCAAGGCGGCCAAGATCCGATCGCCAACTTCCCCACATTTCCATCGGAAAATGACACGAGCAGCGGGCGCGATAGAAAGTAGTGATTTTGGCCACATGATGGCCGCATCACCCGTGTCTGCACTGTTCGCTGACTACTCATAATTAGAGCCGTTATGCGTCCAGAGCTTTGCCAACATGCCAGAGAAACACACAATCACCTTTGCTGTGAAGTCGATGCGTCATGTGTCACATCTCAGAACATGCTTTGGACATACCTGATGTCCAATGCGCTGTGAACCAGGAAGAAAGGACTAATCCTGGGACCGGTGAGAGCTGACAATCCATTGCCCAACGTTGGCCTGTGCGAGTGCAGACAGCGCGCGTCCTGATGCTCACCATCTGACAGGAATTTGGGCTTTTTATACTCTGTACGCTTGCGACTCGTCATCCGCGCTAGGGATTGCAGTGCACTGCCCAATGCGATGGCGTGTATGGGCTGAATATGAGGTCCCCACAGTTGCCGCAGTGTCGCACATCATGGAATAGCGATTGGTGTGAGGCGTCGTACCCAATAGAGTACCTTGGTGCCTGCGCACTCCCATTTCGCACTGGAGGCTGTGGTCAAGCTGTCATGTAGGGATGAGAGAGGCTGGCCGCGTTGTAGTGCGTTGCGCTCGTTCCGCAGATAGCTTCGGCTTGTTTCGTGTGAAGATGCAACATGATGGTATTCTCAACGATGGCATCGCGCTCAGGTTTACCAGATCCGACTCTCCAGCTGCAAATGGCAAAGACGCGCAAGGCAGCGAGCGGATGATCGTCAGAGTCCCCACATCGCAAAACGACACGGGCACGGGCAACGGGTGCGGCGGTCTTGGCGTTCCGGTTCTGACGGGAGGGAGGCTGAGCAGCCGAGTGGCGCTAGTTCGCGCGTCCTTCGCTACGCGATGCTTGCTGCGCCCCGGTCAGTACCACCTTCGCGACTTTGCCCGTTCTTGAATTGTCACGAGGGGAACGGGTCAGCCAAAAGCAAGCCCACCTGGGCCTGCACACAGAGAGTGTGACGGCAGCTGAATAAACATCACCAGGTGTCTGTTGGGTTTTTGAGTGGTAATTTGAATGTGTGTTCAGTAGTAGCGAAGGCAACTAAACCACAAGTGCGCATCCAACACCTCCCGCAGACACTAGGGTCCGCAAGACGTCCGAACTTCTTTTCCGCGCATGCCAGCAGGGACCTACCTGGCGGTGCGCAACCAGTAAACGCGCCTTGATTGTTAATACGTACAAGTCACTCTCCACAGTTTTCAAACGTCATCACGTTCACCGTAGCACTGCTCGGGGGTTCGGGCACCGAGAGTGCCTCACTGGTGACCAAATCCAGGGGGCCTGAGTACACTCATCTCGCGCGATGAGCCGGAAGGGGCTTAAGTCGCGAAGTCCACGTAATGAGCACTATAGGAATGTTTGAGATGCCATTTAGGATAGAGCGACTTTTTTGAAGCCAAGATGACCGAGTACGGGTTATGCGAGTTTGCTCATCTTACTGTGCGGAAGGAAGTATAAGATAGATCTCAAGCGTGTTTTGGTCGGATTCGTGCATCCCGTTCACATTCAGTGCGACAGTGTAACACCAAAACTTCACGACTTCTCCAATTTACCCACCTCACATATCTTTTCTTCCTATCGAACAACATGACACGCATCTCATCTCTTGTCGCTGTCGCGCTTGCAAGCGTTGGCGTCGTCAACGCCCAAGGCTCTCTCGCGAGCTGGCACCCAGCTGGCCCCGGAGAATGTACGTTCGATGTCTTCCCAACTGCTCACCACAGCAATTGCTAACATGTTCCAGCACGAGGCCCATGCCCCATGCTCAACACCCTAGCGAACCACGGCTTCCTCCCTCGCGAAGGGCGCAACTTCACGCTTCCCCAGATCAAACACGCCCTGGGAAACGCCATCAACGTCGGCGATGACATCTCAGAGTTGCTTTACAACTTTGCGCTGACGACGAACCCCGGCCCGAACACCACGACTTGGGGGCTTGACACGCTCGGCAACCACAACATTCTGGAGCATGATGCCAGTCTGAGGTAAGCCCCGCAGCCCTTTACCAAGTCCGCTGGTCGATATGAGGGCCTACACTGCAAAGCGCACGACTAACGCGACATCTCCATCTAGCCGCTCAGACAAGTACTTTGACGACGATGCCGTCTCCTTCAATCACACCATATACGACCAGACCCGTTCCTACTGGACAGACGACCTCATCGACATCCAAATGGCCGCCAACGCACGTCTCGCGCGTATGATCGATTCAGTGAAATACAACCCCAAGTTCGCTCTGTCGGAGCTGGCCGCAGACTTCAGCGCGGGTGAAGGCGCTGGTTACATGCTCGTCTTCGGCAACAAGACAGAGAAGACAGCGAGGCGAGACCTCGTAGAGTACTTCTTCGGTACGTATCTGACCGTTGTGTACTGCAAATCTGTGCTGATTAACGTGTAGAGAACGAGCGCTTGCCCACGGAGCTGGGTTGGAAGGCCCCTGACGAGGTGATTAGCCTGGACGATCTCATGGCTTTCTCTGCAGACATCTACAGTGCAACTTCGTACGATGCTCTCGAGACGAAGGAAGCCATGATGCGCAGGAACGGCATGGTGGGCAAGGTCTTCTAGTGTATCAAGCGACGTGGATAGTATTTGCGCTACCCGATGGGCACACGAGAACCTCTCTTCCGCGCTAGAAAGTGCAGTGCAGGCCAAAGTATAAAAGGTCTTGCGATTTTCGTAGGGCTTGTAAATTCGGGACTAGCGGCTCTTTAATAGACCTTGTGATCCATCGGATGTAATCTTTAAGCGGATGCTCATGTTGTGTAATGCTGACGGGTTGTACCGTGCGTCCTGTGAGAGTGTGCTCATAGCACAAATCACTGTCACACAAGGCTATAATGTAGCGAGCACCGGTAGCCTACGCCGTACCTTACGCGCGCGAAAGTTTCAGACGTCGCACTGACAGAATGCGCCGTTCCAGATCCGACTTCGACGCGTGGATGAGAGGAGATGCCAGTCTGCTCGAGTTGACCGAGGATTTCATTTGATGTGTAGCAGACAGAGTTCGGAAAGCTGCGAACATGTCGTGCAGGAGAGCGTGTAATCATGCGGCTGTTTCATGTTCTGCTAGGGCTATGTAAATGAGGCGCAGTTGCGGCGCAGTCAAAGCGAGTGAAGACGTGTCCTCTGCACGAACGCATGTTTACGATTGATATTATCCATCCTGCAGTCCGATCAATGCTTCGGAATCAAAGGACTCATGTCCTGCGGTGGTTCTCTGCCCTCAGTATTGGCGAGGCGAAGCGTCGCATTGCATTTGCCGTCGTTGCGGATCTTTCGGGAACCACCCACACCGCCGTTGTCCTGGGCCTTGCAAGTATTCAGGATGCCCGATGCAGCCTTCAGAACTTCCGTGAGACCTACGAGACAATCCTCCGTCCAGTCTTGTTCGTATTCGATCTGAAAGGCGCAGGTATGTACGTACTGCAGGCACGTCAGTGTCTGATTGATCGATGAAACCACTCGCGAAGCTTACTGAAGCCCACCATTGCCCACCGTTTCTTCCCTGTAGGAGACCCACAACTGGATGCATCATGCCTGTCGCAAGGGCTGCGTAACAGTCCTCTTGTTGCGCTAGCTTGGAGGCATCGCCCACGGAGCAGTCGATCTCGGATGACTGACCGTACATCATGTCGGCATTGTCGTTCTCGAAGGTCTCCGAGAAGGAGTTGTACACGCCACGATCGAGCGGAACATCTGGCATGTTGTAGGCTGGATCTTGGACTAAGAGCTCAGAGTCAGCAGAGACCTGGCATAGAAGAGCCGGGAAGCGATCGGTAGCCAGTAATGGAGATTAGGGTATCGCTTACTGCATGGTGGTTAGTCGTTGCAGAATGCTGTCGGAAGAGGATGCATACCAATCAGACGGAAGCGGTGCATGCGTCGCGCAGTCCACTCGGACGAGGACAGTAATACCCCAAGGATCATTGTCGCTACCTCGGGCGGCATTTGGTACTTTGATGCATGTATCGGGCTTGCTCGTTCCATCAACACAAGTTCCCTCCGGATGCCCAGGCGCGACATCCAGATATTTGCCATCGCCCGTATAAGTACCACTGCACAACGTTAGCAACGAATCTTGTCTGTATCGGACTTGCTTGTGATTTTCGGAACGAGCAAGAGACGGCTCGTAGCATGCTTACCAAGATTCTCTGAGTATCGGGATCCATGTGAAGTATCCGCACTCGTTATGCTCCAGCTTTACGGCTTTGTTGACAGCTTTGGCTACAGTGTTCGTGTTCGATACACCACCAGTGACGCCACCGCTAAAATCGGCTATCTTGCCACTAAGCGGGAAGTTGATAGTGTACGCCCAAGCCGTGGTAGTCGTATCGGTAATACCACACGTCATGGGGCCATGGCAATACGGGTTCGAGAGGAACATACTCTCCTGGCCGTAGAAGAACCGCACCTGTTGTCCTAAGTCAGTCGCAATGAAACTTTTGGCTCGAAGACCTACATTCTCCTCGCAGAATCCGCCACAATGGAAGCCCCGGAATGGGTTCCACCAGGCCCCTTCGTTCTGCTGCTTCTTCATGTGACACACGCCTGGCGATTCGAAGCCCATGGGCGGGGGGCAGACGTCGTTCTTGTAATCGTGATACAGAATAGGTTCGGCATCCTTTCCATCACATGGGTTGCGCTTGAAGACGTGGGGAGATGGATCATTGGAGACAGCGTCGGCAGGATAGGCACTTGCTATCTTCGCAGATAGAATGTAAACTAGGAACAGAATCGATAGCATTGTCGGCAAGGATGTGACTATGAAGGTGGGCTCGGGTTTGATACTCGAGACTTCCGATGAGATGCGCACTCTTATACCGCAGGTACACCTCAGGCCGACTGTATAGACGCCGATGCTAGACACTCTGGTTAGACTGGGAAGTTGACAGCTGTATCGTGAGTCTGCCTTAGGGAACACGAAAGCCCCAATCTCCAACCGGGCGTATGCTTCCACTCGCGGCACAGAACCCTAAACAACAACCTCGAGATTGGACGTCATCACGATGTTTCTCATTATCCTTGTTGGATATGTTCCTCGCGGGCATACGAAAGGTGCAAGCTGACACGCGCCGTCCGAAGAAGACCAAAGTGTGCCTTGAAGGATCGTCCAAAACAACGGCGCGACAGATGTGTGCTAAAACTGATTTATCTCATGTCCAGAAAGTTGTTGGCGATACTTTCTTTGGAACACGAAGGAATCGGAGGTGGAGAAGGCGTATGGCTTATGTCAGATTGTTCGAAGTTGGGGCGATGTGTGGCACAGCTATGCGGGCCGTGTTGTCAGGCTTGTTGGCGGCACCGAAGCCAAGGTCGTTTCAGACAGTGCACTGCCACCCAAGTAAGTAGTCCCAAAATTGATGCGTCTACCTGCCACCTACTCATGATTGCGCGTCTGTTCACGGAGCTCATTACCCTCCAACAACTCGTACCTACAATACCAAAGCACCACGACTCGCAAGTTTCCCTGGAGATTGTCGCATCCTGCGCGTAAGAACGTCGACGATGTAAGTGTTAATCGAACGTTAAGCCTTGGCTGCGATAGCTCACGCACCATCAAGTCTGCGATGGATGACCAGCCACCCAGCTACTCCGACCCGGCGACCGACCCAGCGATGGGCGCACCAGCCTACACTTCAGCCCAACACATGGTGGATTACGGAGCGTTCCCAGCTGCGCACTACGCCGACTCACGGCATGATAGTCGCAGCTCCGACGAGTGTACTCCTTGTAAAATGATGTTTGCTGTACTCTGGCTGTGTGGTGCGATTACGGTGGTGGTTCTGGCAATTCGCAACGTTGCATGGTGACGCTGGAGCATAGCAAGACACGGGGCGAAGCACAACGTAGTGGGAGGTCGTTCGAGGGGCTTGGAGGCGACTTCGTAGGAACGTGGGGTCGGGATACAATCTCGCGTCGGCGGGGTGGTGTAGGTCGGCTTGGGATGGTGCTGAGGCCAAAGCCGATCAATGACCATAGGCTTCGGCCATACTGCGGCGCGCCCCCCTTGTCTCACACCGCATTTGGCGAATGGAGGTTAACATCGTTAACTCGTTCTCCTCGATCAAGACCAGCCGAATGTTGTCGCAATCGATTTCGGGTGCTCTGGGGATACACGTCAACTGTCCACAATACACCCTCACTACCCAGTGTTGTCTCGAACAAAACAGTCCGTGCATGGGCGCACATGTCTTCGTCCGCGATGCCATAGGGCCCAGTCTTCGTTCGAGGAGGGCTGCGTGACGTCGGCTCTACAAATTGCGAGCTCGATCGACCATCCATGTGTATAGGCCCATCCTAGTGCCACTCCGCCGAGCTGTGGTCTTGTAATGAGTAAGGTGTGGCGGAGTTTTGAAACGTGATGGTCGATGAGTGGAGGGTCGCGAGGGGGCAGGCACGACGCCTGTGCTGGTACGAGGATGTTGAAGCAGCCAATCTCGTGCTGTTAGACGGGTCGCAATGCCAAGTAGCCATGGCCCCAACACCCTCCTTGCCTCTGTAGGCGATGCGCATGTGAGTGTCGTGTGGAAGTCGCGTGCTACGTAGCGTATTGCGCTCATGGCGAAGGCAACTTGACCAGCGATGACGTTGCGACCGTTGCTCGCCTCATCCAGCGTTCATGCCGCTCTCATACGGCGGCATCTGGCGTAGAGACGCTGCAGACGACGCATTTGATTTCGGAAGCTATGCGCCGAATATGCCGCCGGCGCGGATGTTATCGAGGATGCTGTCTGGGCTGGGCGAGCACACGTCGAGCTCTCGGGCGGGTTACTGCCGGACGGGGGCGGGCGGCGACAATGCGGAGACAGAAAAGCCCTCTACTCGTGATTTCATGTCGCGCACGCCCGGCCATTGTCGCGTACGATGCCTTGAAGATGCCGATGGGGTTTGCGGGCGAGGCGCATGCAGTTGTAGGGTGCGGCTCGGGGCGTTGGCACTGGCGCTGGTGCGGGCGGCGAAAGGGCAGCCCTGGCCCGGAGATTTATGTGCCGTGCCGAGCCCAAGCGCCTGCCGCCAGGCCAATTCACTCACGACTACCAAGTTCACGACCATCACGCTCACGATCCGGTCCTTGATACGCACACGCGATAGCTCGACGATACGGCATAGCCAAGCATGCGCGATGCGCAGCTTTCGATATGTAGCTAACAACAGGTTGTGTACACGCGCCCCTGCCGTCCACATCGCATAGCGACAACCAGCCACGTCCGACTCCCGCCTTCCTCGTGGTGCTCAAAGGCCTCAGCCAGATATCTTCAGCAACCTTGGGCTTCGCAAGGTGGGCAAGCGCGGCGAGGAAGGCCTATAAACTCGTCGTATAGGAACATAATGAGCGCGGTCAGGGCAGCCGAAGCAAGGAATTGGAGCCACCACGTCGATCTCTCGCTTCGCAGTCCTGTCGCTACAACGTCGCGGTGCACCTGGTTCTCTTCGTCTTTCGTCGTGGGTTGCATCGTGTTGCCCATGTTTGCCTTGTCGCTCAGAGAAGATGGATGAGGGTGGTGGTCCTTGTCGGCAGACATGTTCACTGTCGTTTGAACGGCGCTGGTAGACTACAGGGGACGTGAGTGGATGGCCAAAGGATATGTGAGTTGCTGGCTGGTATTGAGCGGTTCGGACGCTTTGTTTGCGATCGCCCCGGCTGCTTTGTAGAGAGGTAAGGAAGCGTGGAAGGAATTGCGTGTGCGAGGGCTTCCTACAGGCACGCCGCACTACATCTACGGTACCGCATCCTCTCACCCGCATATTACAACACTAGTCGGAGATCCGCGCTCTAGCACAAACTCTACTTCTATAACGTTCGCTGTACCTTAACCTTAACTAGGTAGATTTTACAAGAAGCCGTTATATCTATTAAGACCTTCTAGATCTAGAATTAATCTGCAGGTCTAAGTGCTTTTCTATTATAATAATTACAATCTGCATTCTAATAGAACGTAATTATTAGATACCTATATACTAAGATAGATTTAATTAGTTAGTTTATTAGATAACTATTAAAGAATAAGACTACTATATTAAGTAAGTAAAGAAATAGAGCATACCTATAGCTACTAATAGATTAATATAGAGCTATTCTTAGTTAAAGTCTAAGCGTTTATAAGAGAATTAGAAAGTATTTAATATTTAGCTATAAAACTATTATATTACTCTAGTTTTATACGCAAAGTATCTATTATAAAGTAACTTAGCTAATAAGAGTAAGAGACTATCTAGACACTAATTCTAAGAAATAAACTACTTTTACTTTTAAATCTAATATTTCTCTATAATATACTATAGTAGATAGAAAAAACTACTTTTAATAATTATGCTTTTTATAATTTATTAGTAGTAATAAACATATCTCTATTAATAATATACTTAGAGTACTTAGTGTTCTTTTAGTACGTAAAACTTTATAATTATCTAATACTACTTATATAGTACTAATTTTTTCTAGATATATAATAGACTATCTAGTTAATTAGTAGCTCTTTTTAAGTATATTAGTTTCTATCTAATACTTATAAACTTCTAGTTATATTTAACTATAATATTAGAACGCTATAGTAATATTTATAAATCTAAATAAGAGCTTTTTTAGATATATTACGTTTAATAGTAATAAGCTAAAGTAATTAATAAGCTATAATTCTAAGCTTTTATACCTAAGAGCTATTAAACTAAAGATACTAAGTATATTTTAGAAGTTAACTATATAAGTTCTTTATTACTAGACTATCTCTTTTCTTTAATTATCTACTAATCTACTAAATATTATTTCTAAGTTCTACGTACGCTTCTAGAGAGTAGTAACTAGAAGTCTAAACTAATATAGTATTACTAAATATATATATATACTAAGTAGATATATATTAGCTAGTATAGTATTAAGAAAGATATATTATAAGTAGATAAAAGATAGAAAATATAAAAGATAAGTATATCTCTAGTAAATAGCTTATTATTCTTAAGTGTATTTACTTTTATATTAAAGTTACTATCTTAGTTTAAAAAGTACTTTATAATCTATTTACTATAATTTATATAGTAACGCTTCTTATAGCTATATTACTACTAAGTAGTATATATTACCTAATATTCTATACTAGCTTTAACTATAATAGTAAGAGGCTTAAAACCTAATAAGCTATCTAGAATACTATCTACTATAACTCTATATACTTAGACTTACTTACTAGCTCTATTACTATTAAATATAAGAATAAAAATAATTCTATATCTTTTATTATTTTTTATCTAGATAATATAAACTATAACCTATTATAAGCTATATTAACTACTAATATAGAATATATTAATATTTACTAAGATAGTTTCTTTAGTAGTTATAATATTATTAGTAGCTAAAGTAAGTAATAAGCTATTTAAGAACTAGCCTTTATATTAGATATTACGTATAGTAACTTTTTTAAAATAGATAGTAAGCTTTAGCGCTAGAAGTAACTCTTTTAGAAAGCTTTTACTAGTATTAAGCTTAAGAATTAGTTTAGTAAAGCTTATATTACTAGCTTTACGTCTCTAAAGTATAGTAAAAACTTTCTATTTAACTTTACTAAATATAATCTTAATAATCTATTACTAGACCTAGTAAAGTAAGTAGATATAAGCGCTTTAACTAGCCTAAACGCTCTTTTATAGCTAGGTAACCTAGTATAATATTAAAATATCTACTACTATATTTATAACTATATTTATAGCTTCTTTATTCTAGCTAACTACTACTTTTTTATCTAGACT